AAATGCATCATTAACTAACATAGCATCTTATTGTAAAGTGTTTCCAACTTGAATTGAACCCAGAACATTCCTCTTCTATTCGATTGCTGGTCAAGTTGATCCACATTTTATGTTTAAACTGTTTGAAACACTGGTTAAACTATTTATTCATGACATTTTGTGACTTTTCTCATTGTTCATGAATGTGCGTGCAAAGTTTCGACACATGGGTGTTTTTTAGAAAGGCTAGAAATATTTTGGTGACTATGATGGTCAGGTAAAAAACAGAAACGCTTTATTTGTAGCTTAACTAAAATTTATATTTTCTTATATTATATATAATATATATTTAAGACTTGAAATGAAGGGCTCAACCACTGAATCACCCCAGGAGAATTCGCTGTTTCTTGTTTTATTCTGTGTCTGTGCAGCTAATATTGAATATAAAAACATGTGGTTCAAACTGACTCCTTTCACAAAGAATGGAACTAATTTAACACAACAGGAGTTCATCATTTCTCATATTTAATGACAAGCCACAATAGATGTTTACGGTAAAAGCATGACTCTTAACTGTTTTTAGTGTTGATTTATGGCGAATTGGATGGAATCAAACTTAAATGTGCAATTACTGTATATGTGAACAAGATAATCTGGATTGATTCTCTCTCACCTTGCCTGCTGCTGGTTTTCAGCAGTTTTTCTCACTATCACCTCACCATTGTATGGTAAATGCTGAAAATCACACACAAAAATACAGCAATATTTATTTACGTGACATCATTTCAATTGTAGAAGCTGGCAAAGGATGCAAAACTAAAATCACTATTGCTCTGAAGCAGATGTTAAATTCCACAAGATCTAAGAAGTCAAATAAATTCAATATAGTAGACTGACCTGCTTTACTTTCTGTCCATAACCGAGCCGGAAGCGTAAGGCTGAAGCACACAGAGCCGTCGCGGCACACATCAGCCCAGCGAGAAACAGTCGACACGCAGCTTCAGTCAGACTGACAGACTCCTCCAGAACAAACCAGCACACGGCTGCAATGGGAACCAGACACTGACCCCAGTTCGGCCCGTTTCTCCAATGCAGTCTGAGAGAGAGTGAATCATAATATCACCACAGCATAGGCTAAACCAATAGGAATCTGTGGGTAATGCTAGGGTCTTGTGGTGGTTGTCATGGAGTTGCTATGTTGCCATTCAGTTGGCAGGTCTATATATAATCAGGTCCCTCCTTTAATGTAAGTGGGATTGTTTTTAGCCTGTTTTAAGTCTGAACATTATTGCAATTTTGAACCCCATTGACTTTCTGAACAGACAAAATAAAAATAAAACACTGAGGCATTTCTCTAAAATATAAACATATATATATATATATATATATATATATATATATTGCAAAACTTCAACAATTAGTATCCTCAATTCCCAAATGATTACATTTAAAATGTGTAATTAAAAGGAAAGGTCATGTGACAGTTGTAAACATGCAGTTTTTAAAAACTTTTTTGGAGTGAGTTTTTTTTTCATATACAAAATACACATAAGTTGGTCAGATCCGTTCTTTGCAATTTTGTCAGTTAAATTAAGTTTCAAGAGAATTAACAAATCACAGATTACTGTTTTTATTGCATTTTACAAAATGCCCCGACTTTTATGGATTTGGGTTTATTAAAACTGTCTTTAAAATATATTTATTGTTGCACATTTGTAAAAATGAATATATGGAATATATTTTAACTTTCAAATGTAACATCAACAAACGCTACAGTTGAAATAATAATCATGTGCTTAACATGTCCTAGTATGTTAGTCAACATATCAAAATCAGTGTACTTCTAAACAAAAGATAATTAAAACAATGTACTTTACAGTAAACACATTCAATGCAATTGAGCACACTTCTTTTTCACAAGGATCAATCTACTCTCAGCACTCCAAACACTCACCTCATCCATCTCCACTCTCTTCCATCTCTCTCCTCCACCTCTCGTTTGGTCATCTCGTTCTCCTCTCTTCCATCCTGTCCTCCTCTTTCTCGTGTCCCGCTCGGCTCCCAGCAGCTCCACACATGTCCAGCGCTCAGCTGAGGCATCAATCCCCATGGACGCACTGCGTGAAGTGTTTGTGTTGCTCAGATCATTCCGTGGAGACCAAACACTGGATTTTCCAGTCATACCAGTCGGTCCAGCAGGTCTAATTCATCAAAGACTAATGTTTATTGTTTTCCTTGTTGGGTTGTAAGAATGTGAGGAATGTGGTATGGTGAGGGAAGTTGGTGAGGCACTTCCCAACACACCTGTGCCAGCTGCCACCGCTCCCTTTGAGATGTCATCAGTAGGCCACAATACAAAATATAGGCTAAAGCAGGTGTGATCCTTCTGAAAAAAACTAAAGTTAATAGTACCGAAAGTGCACTTTATTGTACTTAAAATCTTAAAAGTAGCCTAGGCTATTTAAAAAGAAAAAAATCACCTAAAACTGTAGCCTATAAGCAGATGGGTGATTCTCTGAATCGGGTGCCCTTTAAGTCCCCCAAACTTGCTTCAAAGATTTTTAATTGAAGGAATTCACAAAATGCATTTTAATGCTGTCAATTAATAGAACCAGCTGCCTTTGCATTATAATGCAACACAATTGCTTTTTAAAAAAAAAATAATTTAAAGATAATGGGTTGCCTAAGTAGTAGACAACAAGCAAGTATGTCCTCACTAAGCATAATTACATTTCCATTGAATATCAAACAAATATAAAAGTGCAATTAATACCAAAATGTTGCTGCTAATATAATCATATCTTGCTCTACTTTAATATTGTATATGTAAATATTCTGTATATATACAATAATAATTGCAATATTTATACACGTCCTCCAGTTTGTTTTCAAACCCCGTCACGCCATACTATTTACCCCCCTATAAAAATAATGGATCAATCCCTGTGGCATCTCATCCAGGAAGTGACATCACACAAGTCTCTTAAAGAACATGCTGCAAAGAAAGGCAAGTGGCAGTATCTTTTCTTACCTATATTTTATGGATTAAGATTGTCAGGCTCAACATTTCAACTCTGTTGTATGACTAAATGATAGTAAACAACGGTTTAAGAATTAAATAATAGTTTTGCAAAACATTACAATTTTATGATGTCCTAAATGCCACGTGGTGCCACTGCCTTAGCTAAGTAAGGAGTTATGGCTACTATTAGCCAAAAACTTCAACCCCCGTCACAATTCAACCCCGTCACATTTTTAGTACAACGGGGTTGAATGTTTGACACTTCTAAGTAGATTACTCAATTGTAGACTTGTTGTATTGTGATGTGAACGGTCAGAAATAATCGATTATGCTATTTTATTTTCAGATATCGCAATGGCAAAAACAGCAGCAGAGAGGCAAAGACAGTACAGAGCAAGACGGGATGCAGACGTAGAGAGAAGGGAAAAATATCTCAGGAGTGAGTGTGAAAGGTGGAAAAGGGACACAGAGGCAGGGAAAAAGAAAAAATAAGCCGTAATAAATAATAAATAAATCCATTCTATACTGAAATAATGATCATCACTTCAACCCTGTTATCATTTTCAACCCTGTTATTTGATCGTTTTTATAAATATTTTCGTGACAAGAAGACAAATTAGGTCAATGTTTGTTTTGCTGTGTGTAGAATTTACCGGGCAGTCTGAAAAAATATACGAAAGCCTGATTAAATCCTAATGTTAATGCATATTTTGTGATAAGATATGAAGCCAATGTTAGATATAGTTTTCATGAGCTGATTTGGTATTCAAATGGTGAGTATTTAAAAATAAAATTCTACACAAATGATATCAAACAAGGGACAATCCTATTTAAATCCTATTTAAACAGGGCCCAATAAGTGGTCTGTGACGGGGTTGAACTTCAAAACAACTTTCAGTAAAAAAAAAAAAAAAAAAAAAAAAAAAAAAACACTCAATATTGATTAGAATTTCACGCCTGAGGTGGGAAAATGCATTTTCTTAAAGGTTTGACTAATTCACTATCACATGAAATGATGAGAAATATAACTAAGGTAGGCCTATTTATAAAAAAGGTATGGCCCAAAAGGTACCATCTCAGAGAATCACACAGATATTATATAAATATGAAGAAGAAAGAGAAGGACAAAACGTTCTTCATTTATGTTTAGGTTTGTTCTGAATGTTTACAATGTAGCCTATGCATATTTTTGATATCCTCAATCAATGTCATAATAAATGTGTAACCTTACCGTAGGCTATAAGTAACTGGACGGTTTAAAAACAAACTGTGAATAGTTCATAATCCTAATTTTAATTAAAAAAAAACTTTAAGAAAAACGTCATTTTTCCCGTTACTGGAGAACCCCCCTCAGCCTGACTGAGTGGAAAAGACCTGCGCTGCGTGACTGGATTTAATAGGGGAAACCGCGAAAATGCGACTAAAACGAACAATTTTATCAATTTAAACTAGATATTGGACTCAATATAGTGTTCCTTACAACTTACTAACGTTAAAGACCCAGTGATCCATGGATATGGGCTCTATGCACGGCGGTATTTCCGGTGAAGGTGTAAGGATGCTCGATAACTTCCGCCGATCGTAGAGTCCAATGCAACCAATACCGAGAATTTATATTGAATTTTATACTCCGTGGTTATAGTAAAGAAACGTTAGTCACAAAAACAGATAAAACAGACACCCCTCGTTGTGTTTATGCTTCTTTTTAAAATTATATTAAATAAACATAACTATAAAATTACATCTTCGTGTATGAAAGGTTCGTTTCAAAGACGGAAGGACAGTAAATTTTGAAGACTCTGCCATTATCCCGTTTTCATCGCTTTTCCCCCGCTTTAATCTCCCCAACCGAAAACTTACAAGCATCCTTGCGTCAATGCGGAACTAATGCATATAGATTTTACTCATGTATTTTACTCCAGAACATTACTTTAGTCATACAAAATAAAGCAAAGATGAGGGAGGGATTTGAGGACTGACACTCAAGGAAGACATCATCAAGTGTACAAAACTCATTTATTTTCCATCACTAGGAGATAGACACCAACTCAGAGACACGAGGCGCATTACTGTACATTAACCGTCAATAATTACAACAATACATATCATAGCACAGATACTTTTTTTTTTTACATTGTACAAGGTTGTCTCAGTATAAATAGTGGCAATTGTATATATTTCCCTTTTTCAGGTTATAAAGATGCAGCAGTGCTCCACTGACAGATGTGCAAAACCCAAATAAATACTACTATGTCCATAAGCACAAGTTACATGAAATACACACAAGTTCTGAAAATTCTCCAGTCATTTTATGATACACAGGATAATGAGGAATCAGATTGAGAATTGGTGGAGGAATTATTTGTTTAACCTTCACTGAACCTCATTCTGGCTTTTGAATCCTTCCATATACCAAATATATTGTAAGTAAAAGTTGATTTGGGTTTTGCTTTCGATCACATGTCTGAAGTAAGGTGATGTGAGCATTGGATGTTTGATGTTTAACTTATCAATGCCTGAATTATAATGGAATCTTGAGATGTAGCTATGACAAGATCATTTTTCACCCCAAAACCAAAAGAAAATGACATTCTGTTTTGTATCAAGAAACGGAAGTCTGTTTACCCGACATGATTTATGCAAATCATAATAATTTAATCATTTTTTTGGGGGTTTGAAATGGGATATTTCACAAGATTCACCGGCTAATTCAAGCGTGATCTTTTAAAACATTCATGAAAACGGAGCCTGAGTGAAATGATTTAAAGGTGATTTACAGGCTTTGTCGCGACACTGAATTTTACTTTACGAATTTCAAATATATTCAAACAAAATCCAGTGAAAGTGAAAATCCACAGCATTTGACCCCTTTATTGTGGGAAACATGAAATTACTTAATAAATAAAAATATTTTAAAGGTCTCTCCTCAGTCTCAGTCAGGTAGGAAAACCTCTCTCACTACTCAGAGGAAAATTAACTGAATAAGAAAATAATACAAATGAACAACAATCTAATTAGGCCAAAATTAATATAAAAGAGGCAGGATGGCACAGGTTAAAAATCTTGAGAGCTCCTGAAATCACACATGGATGGGTCTTTTTGGGTCTCTAGAAACACAGTTATTCACTCCAGTGTTCTGAATATATTTTATAAAAAACATCTTCACTATTTAAGTTTATTTTTTACTCTTTAAGGAAATAAAAATAAATCTGTTTGCTCGTTTAAAGTAATTGATCTGTCCCCCTTCGGTAAACAACGGAGCGCTTTTTCACGTGTGATTCAGTGTCAGGGTTTGGTGATATGAACTTCACTGGCCCCCGTCCCATTGGTGGTGGTGGTGATGATGTACTGAGTGGTGGTCTGCTGACTGACGGCGGGCTGCTCCAGCGGGTCGGGGTGAACCTGTGCTACGGTGGACGGGACGCTCACCTGCTTCCCATCCAGCTCCGACTGTCCGTCTGAGATGACATAGTGTGTCTGCAATGCACGAGAAACAAAACACAGTTGCAGGACACCGTCTGAAAGTGGAAGCCAGGTTGTGAACGTCGGACTCACCGTTTTGACCTGACTGTTGTTGACGGCGGAGGTGACGGGGGTGCTGGCCTCTGCGATCACATACTGAGTGTGAGGAAGAGCCATCATCTGGATCTCAGATGCTTAAAGGAGCAAAGGAGGGAAACACAATACTGTCTTCATATTCGCAGGTTAATATAACATTAAAAAGAGGCGCCTTTGCTTAAGGTACTTACGATAACCCCTGTAGTTCCAGTTGCTGGGAAGGTACGCGTGCTGTGCAGCACCTTGAGTCTGATTAGTGGACGTCTGTAGAGTCTGGCTCTGAGCCAGGGTCACAGGGGTCAGCTGGGCAGTGGTTAGCTCCTGTGCAGCTTGCTGAGAGGAGGGACTTAGAGGCTGATCTGACACCTGATTGGTTGTTAGGAAGGGTCAAAAGGAGTAGTGAGAGTGAGTCTGATGCCAACAATTACAAACATGCATATTTTTATTCCAACCAAGATTATTTACAAATTGTTGAACTGTCAAATACTCATCACCCACTGATGATCCAAAATTATTTCATTTCTCATCATAGTACAACATTATGGACTAAAACAGACACAATACTTTGATTTTCTCTGATATATACTGTGATAAGAAAAAATACAGGAATTTTCACAACAAAATCATAAAAAAACAAACAAAAAAAACTTTTTAGGTAAAAAAATGTTATAATGCAATAATACTGTTATACTGTAAAATAAACCAAGCACTTAAATATAGTTTTATTTTACAGTCCAATCATAATTTCCTCATTTTCACATGGTATCTGCACATTTTTCAACAGCAATATTTTTTAAGTCCTCTATTTAAGACTTTACCACGACAAATTGGTTAAATCCTGTCATTTACAGCCCTACACACCCCACATATGCTGTAGAGGACAGCTGCTCACCTGTGCATTGGCCTGCACTGTCCCTGTGGGCTCAGACACCTGTATGTGCTGAACCTGAATCGAGTGCTGGCTGTAACTGTGAGGGTCATGTAACTGACTCACATCTACAGTCGAGTGAGGAGAGGACGCCTGCAGAGACAGACAGACACAACACACTTATCAAATCTAATTATTATATATACGTATATCTCATTATTTTGTATATATAAATACACACACATGGATGTATATGTTTAAGAAAATGTGTTCTTCATATATAAAATATTTATATAATATAGATTATGTATTTATATATATATACAGAATTTAAGCGCAAATAATTCTTAAATATATACATGCGTGCATAAGTATTTATATATACAAAATAATTATATACAGCACACACAAAAATATTATGTAAACAAAGACTTTTATTTTGGATGCGAATTGATGCGCAATTAATTTTTGCACAGCCCTAATTACAACACAAGAGATACTTTTCAGTTTTGAAGCTGATTGTGACCAAATACCTTTTGTTTTTTATCATGACCTATGCATCAGTGCATTCTGTTACTGCTCAGTGCTTAATAAACGACCAACTACCTCGCCGATGGGTGAAAATAAATGAAAAGTAACCTAGCATTGGGGGTTTGTTGGGCTTTTTCCTGTTGTACCGAAACTCGTATCAAACTGTGACCCCAAAACTGAGTTAAGTACCAAACCAAAAAAATAAATAAATAAAAGCAGTAAGGAGAATCTGAGAATTTTTTTTTAAATAAGCAAAATAAAAACGAGAAGCCATAGAACTAAAGAGCAGAAAAGCCAGTGTGAATGAATGTGTCCGTACCGGGGCGACCTGCACCACCTGCAGCTGTATGTGCTGTGGCTGAGACAGGCCTCCAGCTGCCTGAGACACAGGGATGTACTGGATCCTCTGGAAATCCCCTTGTGCCGTGCGATAGTCTGTGGTCAGGGTCTGGGAAAGCTCCGTCATGGCCTGTGTCAATAGGTCGGTCGTCTAGGAGAAAGGCAGAAACTGATGAATATTGTGTTGTTTCAAGACAGGGCACCTTTTTTAACCATCTAACCTGTAACACTTTTTTGATGCGTCTTTAAAGTGCATTTTTAATTGACAGCAAGAAACCCATTTCTTTAGAATAAGGTGATCTAATAATCCCAGTGAGATTTTTCTAGAATGAATATTTTGATTTGATGATGTTCATGTTGCTCACCACCACAGTCTCAGTAGTGGTGCCGTCCGTTGAGATGACGGCAGGAGTGCTGCTGATGACCGTAGTGGACAGAGGTGCCTGGATGCTGTTGCTGTTGTACTGATATTCTGGATGCTTCTTGCGAATGTGCTGGACCATCTTAGTCTAAAAAAATAAAGAGTTATTAGCACACATAAATCCATACAGATTCACACACATCCTGACTCAGGTATGACTGTACCTTGCTGCTGTACTGTTTGGCACAGTGCGGGCAGCACACAGGCGCAGTGGCGATAGTGCCCGTCAGCTGGGTGTGTGTGCTCAGCATGGGGTCAGGCTCCCCCGGCCCGGCCGGACGCAGCTTCCGGATGCTGGGAGGCAATTCTGCCCCAGGGTGGTTCTTCAAAATGTGCGCCTTCCTCTTACTGGCACTTTTATAGACCTGAACAGGTAAAGGATGATATAGATTAATGAAAAGAGTATCTATGTATGTCTATATATATATATATATATTAAATCGATATATTCCATCCATCCATAAATCCATACATACATATATATATATATATATATATATATATATATATATATCCAGTAGTCAACATTTGAAGTGGATCAAAATCTTTCATCAAAGTTATAAATTAATTTTTAACAATATCCGGTATTGTCTTAGGACAACTTAATGAACTTGTCAAGCCAAAAATTATTCAGACACCAGATATTATTTTTTGATATTTTTTCACTAGTGGGTGCAGGACACTATAGTTAATTAATTTAAGTGAGGATAGACTGTGACATATTATACTCAATAATTCTTCATACAGTGGACTACCAGTAAAATGTATACAAATTTGGCACCAAAAATTATTCAGACACTTTGACTCAAGTTTGCTTAAAATTGCTAATGTGACCTTATTACACCACAGACTGAACAAAATTAAGCACTACTTGGTAATTGCCATAATGTGAGAAATTTTGAAGGTGTCTGAATAAATTTTGGTTTGACTAAAAATGTAAATATATTAGGGCTGTTAAACGATTAATCGCGATTAATAGCATCCAAAATAAAAGTTTGTGTTTACATAATATATGTGGGTGCACTGTGTATAATTATTTTATATATATAAAAATACACACACATGCATGTATATATTTAAGAAAAATGTGTTATTAATATATCAAATATTTATATTTATGTATAATAATGTAAGTATATACATGCAAATATTTCTTAAATATATACATGCATGTGTGTATTTATATATACAAAATAATTATACACACTACACAGATTATGTAAACACAAACTTTTATTTTGGATGCGATTAATCGTTTCACAGCCCTACAATATATAAATATATATATATATATATTTTTTTTAAATAAAACTTGCTGAGATTTCCATGTTCTCTACTTTGTACTTTGATTTTTCATAGAATTTCACATTTTTTAGTTAAGTTATAAACTATAGACACGAAAGCACTATGCAGGAAGAGCAAAATGGCAACTCTATGTTCAGAGGAGGCTCAAGTCTCTTGGGTCAAGGACACACTGCTTGTCTTTCTATGGGTCTGCTGTGATGGCAGTTAACGTAAAGGGTCATTAAACTGTCAGGGGTCAAGCCTGTGAAAATGGTAAGAGAGAAGTGGCAAAACTGAATGAGTCCAGACCTTATCACAGTACTGGCAGAAGTAATCTCTGTTGGGTTTAATGATGGGCAGCGTCAGCTCTGGAACCTCCTCCAATCGCATCTCAGGATGTCGTTTAGACAGATGATTGACCTGAGGACATGTGCAATTACATCATTAACATGAGAAAATGAGCCATAATTAACTTATGGGTGAGGGACAAACTGAGGTCAAAGGTCAATACCAGCATCCCTCGTCTCCTGAAGCCCATCATACAGAGTCTGCATTTAAACATGAAGCTCTCAAAGTCAGTGGTGGGCTCCTTCTGTTTCAGAGCTTTGGTGCGGTGGATGCGGTCCGCCTTTTTGGCCTCGCGTTCAGGGTTGTGCATCCTCTGCATGTGTTCCCGTAGTTTATCCTTCCTCTGGTCAAAACAATTATAATAATTGAAAAACACACAATTCAATGAATGAGAAGTTGTGTCTGCACTTCTGCATGCATGTTCCTAATGTGGGCATATGTGAATCACCTTAAACTGTTTTCCACATGTGGAGCACAGGAAGTCCTTGCGGTCCGAGTGGCGGAGCATGTGGAGTCGTAGTTTGTCAGGTCTGCAGAAGGCTTTATCACACTCCGTACACTGGAAGATCTTCTCTGAGTGGAAACTCCTCACGTGCTTCTTTACCTGCACAACACAGATATATGAGTGACCAATGCCACATAATCAGATTTAATGGAGAACTCCGGCGCAAAATGAACCTTTGGTTTAATAAAACATCGGTACCTAGTCAACCGTTCTCTGAGATTTGTTTTCATGCGCGTATAACGCATTCTCTTATTAAACGGTCTATACACATACAAAGTTCTCAATGCTTCGTTTTGGACGTAGGGACCCTCATTATGTTACTGTGTTAAGGTCCTTTCACACTGGACGCGATTTTGACTCACGAATAATTCGCGCGATGGTTTTATTTTTGATCAGCTGTTTGTATAATGAGTGTTTCCACACTGAACGTGAATGTGCTGCGGCAAAAAAACGACTTCTATTTTTTCCACTTCGATGTCGTTTTTTTTTTTTACTTTTGAGGCGAAAGAAAAGGCTTCAGCCAATCATATTCAAGTCGTCTGTGAATGAAAATCTGAAACAAGGACTGGTGGGACGTTGTGCTCATTCGTTCGTATCGAGCCCAACCGGGTGTTTACAAGGCTTTTCAGTCTATTTGAGCTTCAATCCGTTTACTAAAAGTGTTTATTTGATTGCATGTAAACGTAGCCCCTGATGAATGGGACAGCTCACCTTCTGCTACTATGTTTCTAGCTCCGGTAGCACACTCTCTGTTCTTTAAGATTGGGTGCACCCAAAACCTTCTTTTCTGCTTTTAAATAAAAGTGAAAAGCTTGTCTTCACTGGATGATAATGATGGTTATGAAGAAGCTATGTCCTACGTCCCGCAAGTCATAGCATTGTCCCGCGTTTAATTTCAGCCCATCAGGCAATTGCTAAGCATGTATGGGTTAGAAAGACGGGTTTTTTAACATGAAATGTTGCACAATGCACCTTTAATAAAAATTACATTTTTTAAAAATACATCGGGCTGGGTGAGACGGTTTAGAATTAGATGCGTCTTATTTGCAAGCACAGCTCACCTGTATGAAGTCTGTGAAAGTTTTCTTGCAGGAAGGACAAGAAAAGCAGCCGTTGACCAGGTGAACCCCCACATGCACTTTGAGCAGGTCTAATCTGTCATAGGACTCGGCGCAGAACAGACAGGAGTATGTGCGATGGTCGGAGTGCAGCTGCAGGTGATCCTCAAGAGAAGCGTTGGTCAGAAAGCCCTTCCCGCACTGATGGCACATGTGACGGCAGCCGTCCCGCCCGTGGTACCGCATGTGCTGGTCCAGCTTGTCTTTATCTCGGAAGGCTTTCCCGCACTGGGGACATTTAAAGGGCCGAAAGGACTTACGGATGAATAGATGCTGGAGAGCGGCATTCTGGGTAAGAGAAGAGAGAAAACATGGAATGGACACTTCTGAGAGGGGAAGACAAGCAGGATGATGAGGAACCACTTTCATTACACTGAATTAATATGGTTTGCAAGCGATGACATAATGCACTTCCTCGAGTCTGTATGTCAGAGATGGCGGTTAAAACAAGCCCTTGTGTTTGCATGCCGAACACAAACAGGATTAAATTTTTTGGTCGTACTTATAGTTCACCCAAAAACGTACGTCTCACCCTCATGTTTACACTGCTCTTTTTAATTAATAAATTGTCATTTATTTACAGAACAACATTAAAATTACAATGGACGTTTTAATTTCTCTGTTTCCAAACGTTAAACCAGTTGTTCAAAGGTAAGCTGATCGGATTGGATCAAATCTTGAAAATGGGTTGTTCAAAAGGGAAAGAAGGAATCTGAAATCAGATTAGATCAAGGAATCCAATCCTAGTTTTAATCTGGATCAAACCTTCAGTTTGTGTTGTTCAAAACTTGTTAGTGGGATTTGGATAACTTTGATTAAAAAAAAAAAACAGGATTATCCTGATCCCAACAGGGGGTTGGATTTCAAGGTGGATTTCAGGAAGAAAATGTAGTAAAACTTTAAAATGGGTCAAATAATACATTTGTATCATTTAGTGTATATACTTTTATTTATATTTTGCTCTTGACTTGTGTAACCGTTGTAACAGTGATAAAGTAGACATAGGCTAACAATTAAGCTATTCAGTATAGTAAAGGAAAAATAAAATAAAAATTATCTTGTTCCCATTTGTGTTTTGTCTCAAAATAAGAAACACTTACAGTGACACCATGCTGTCTCTTCTACCTGTTCTTTACATAGCTGGTAGCCCACATTGTGATATGTTGTCCCATTTAGAGCACTGGTAATCCGGATTTGGTAATCTTGAAAACTGTGTATCTGGATCAGGGTGATCCAGTCCAATGTTGCTTTGAAAAACCGGCATAAAATTAAGACGGATTACCTGATCCTGGATAGGAAAAAAATGGGATTTCCAAATCCGGATCATTTTGATCCAGATTAAATGTTTTGAACAACTGGCCCATAGAGATTTTATTTTTGGCTGAGAATTGACAATTTCCTATGACATTCTAAACTACTCCTTCCTGGTTAAACACGGTGACATGAGGACAATTAAGTAATGGCAGAATGTTGATTTTCAGTGAAGCTGTCCCTTTAACTCTGTTGGGTGATGAAGCTTGAGGACTGAACTGATACAGACAGATGTAATGGGGATGTAGGGAGTCAACACTGTATTGACTGAAGGAAAAAGTTTCCTCTGACTCCACTCTGGCCCACATTAGACCTACCTGCAAGTCCACCTTAACGTGCAGCACGCAACAAAAGAGAAAGACACACACACACCCACACACACGCGCTACTGTTAAATAACTCTAGCCTGCTTTGACTTTAACACACTACATTGCAGAGATGTGAGGGTGTGGGTCACTCGTGACAGGCGTATCTTACCCTAATCCTCCTCGCCCTCCTCATGTCCTGAGGTGTGAGGTGGGGGTCTACGGGACTGGTCTGACACAGGTCCTCTTTGGGAGACCCCGGGACCCCTGTGGCCGGAGGTGGGGAGACAGAATCTCCCTCGACTTGCAGTGCCTCAGTGTGAGTCGCTGGTGTATCAAGCCCTTCCTCAGTCTCCGTCTCCATCGATTCGTCTGCCATCTCCACCACCTTCAGTCCATTAAGAGCTCCATCTGTCCTTTCCTCAAATGGTAGTTTATCTACAGACGCCAACAGCTCCTAAAGCAGGTGCAGAGACAGAAATTGAGCACAGAATCCATTGAAAGTCTATTAAACCAAAACTTGCAAGTTTCCAAAAGGTCATTAAGAGAATGTAAACCTAATCTGATGTGTGCGGTTGAGCTGACGTAAACGTATAATATTTGATGAGCTCTATGTATGCGTGTTGATCAATGTTTATATGTGAATAAAAGAATATGTGAGGAAAGCGCTATAGAAATGTAATGAATTATAATTATTATTATTAAAAGACTAAATTTAATCTGTTCATCATAAAAAGGGATCGTGTCTCTTCAGAACTTAAACTTCTTGATTTATATGGATGGACTTTAAAGGGATAGTTCACTTTGAAATTAATGTTTGGTATGTTTTAGCTTACCTCAAGGGCATCCAGGATGTAGGTGTCTTTGTTTCCGCAGTATTTTCAATTTTGACATTTTTAGGTCAAACTGTTCGTGTCTGTCAGTCATATAATGGAGGTCTATGGTCACCACCTCAAAGAGCATGCACAGAGAAGTCCAAATTAAACATGATTTAATGACTCGTAAATGTAAGTACACATTGATGCCCTAAGTGGTTTGTGTGAGAAAACGAACAGTATTTATATCGTTTTTACCTCTTGTAACCACAGCCATAAAGCGCCCGCGCCCTCAGATCACTTGGACGTGGCTGTGCAGGTAAAAACGATATAAATACTGTTCGTTTTCTCACACAAACCGCTAGTTTCGTGTCTTAGGCCATCGATGTGTACTTACATTTACGAGTCATTAAATCATGTTTAATTTGGACTTCTCTGTGCATGCTCTTTGAGGTGGTGACCATAGACCTCCATTATATGACTGACAGATTATAACGGTTTGCCCTAAAAATATCAAAATTGAAAATACTGTGGAAACAAAGACACCTACATCTTGGATGTCCTTGAGGTAAGCTAAAACATACCAAAAATTAATTTCAAAGTGAACTATGCCTTTAAAGATTAAGCATGATTGAGCATTATTGTGGTGTGTAATTATATCATCCTTGGTGTGAATGGGCCTCTATGGGTTTAAACCACATGATGGTGGGTAAATGATTTTTTTGGTGAACTTTCTCTTTGATGGACTGGTCAACAGTACCTGTGTCTTGTCAGCACTCTCAACAGGAGTCTGTGGGCAGATGAATTTGGTACGCCGTCCTGGTCGCCTTGCAGGACAGAATCGTTTCCTGCCCCGTCCTCGGCCACGGCCCTTTGGCCTGGAGGAAAAGCATATTAGTCAGACTCAGCAATGGAGTCAGCGTCAGGAAAATAATCATGAACACGAGAGAATAGGAGCCATTTATGTGCTTTGAAACCTTTGGATGAGGTTCAGCTTGTCATCGTGCATGTTTAAGTGTTGTTGAAGCTGCTCCGAGCTCATGAACCGTCTGTTACACTCGTAACACGGCCAGTTCTTCTCCTGTTCACGTAAAACTGACACAGACAGAACAGGTTGGGTTAGAGTTGAACCAGGAACCACAACAGATTTTTTTTTTTTTCCAATATTATCTCTAACTGTAAAGAGATTGTAATAAAGAGTGCTTTTGATTTACAGGAAAAAAAAACAATAACATGGTTTTTAGTAGACTGAATGTGTGCATGTTTATGAAGAATATTTTTGTGCTTTTGTTCCTCTTTATTATCTGGAATTTAGTTATTTTAAACTGTTTTGCTGCTTACAAACTGTCTTAAAAGTGCCTTTTATAATATTTATAATTTGAGAATACCATACAAAAAAGCAAAACGCGAACTACCGAACTGTTAGAAAGTTAACCGTTATATCCTTAGTCAATTTTATAGTTTGTCATGTCTGTGGCTGTGTGAATGAATAAAAGATGATAATTAAAATACCTTTTCTCTCTTCGTCTGTGACATCATGAACCTTTTGGTTGACAAACTCAGCATATGATGCAGCGTACCACACCTGAAGTGCAAGATTCATCACAAAATAATTGTTTACTGTGAAAAACAACCTTAAAATAAATGAAAAAAAAAAAAATTCTGCGTGGCAATTTCATGTTTTAATTTCCAATCAAAAGAGAGATTCATAGTCATTCTGAATATTGCTTGAAATACTGAAGAACTAAATAGTAAAAAAAAAAATTAAATAAAGATATAATTAGGGCTATCAAACGATTAATCGCGAGTAATCGCATCTAAAATGAAAGTTTGTGTTTACATAATATATGTGGGTGCACTGTGTATAATTATTTTGTATATATATATATATATATATATATACACACACACACACATAGATGTATATTTAAGAAAAAAATATTTATCTATAAAATATTTATATATAATATAAATTATATATAAATCTATATGAAGTATATACCTGAAAATATTTCTTAAATATATACAAGCATGTGTGTGTATTTATATATATAAAATAATTATACACAGTGCACCCACATTTATTATGTAAAAACAAACTTTTATTTTGGATGCGATTAATCGTTTGACAGCCCTAATAATAGTTATAATTGATGCAAGACAAAATTTGATTAATTTGATTATCCGTTTGTTTGCTATAGATGAGAAACTTGTTTCTTTCTGCTGACCTTAAGCTCCTGTTTGGGCTGAATGTTCTTAATGGTGGTGTAAAAAATGTCCGAGCCGTACTGATAAGCCACCAGGTTCTGCTCCAGGTGGTTCTGGGCCGGCCGGACAAACATCATCCAGTTGCATCGCTCCTCATCAGACAGGTCGAACCAGAGGTCCTCCGCCCTCTCGCCCTCTTTCTCTGGGTCTAGCATGTATAACTACACAGCAGGATTACACGTGTCAGACTTCTCAACACTAAACTACAAAACTTCTTATGATAAAGAAGAAGGGTTTACTCGTACTTTCAGGTGGATGTGCGTGTCCTGCAGTTCACTCTGTCGCACCAGCGGCCCCTCTATAGGACCGAACTGTGTGCGTTTGGGGATACGGCGCTTGGTAAAGACTCCGCCCAGGAAGCGGTCGATATACAGGATGAGAGGAAGGCTGGCCCGAGCCTTGGACATCACCGGGCGGTTCAGGATAGGGTGCAGAGGACCGTGTTTTATACATGCGCCCGAATTAGCATTATTACAGTCTTCACACCCTACACATAGAAATAAAAATTCACATTCAAAAGTGTCTTATGTATGAACCTGGGGAGTGATCTCACATTTTGAGAATCAAGAGAATTAAAAATTTCTTTCCTCTCACCACAATTTTAACCTGATAGTTCACCAAAAAATTAAAATGAACTCTTTTACGTCATACCAAACACTTTTTTTTAAAACTAAATCTGGTGAATAGACTGTCAATGGAGGGACAGAAATATCTCAGATTGAATTTAAAATATCTTTATTTGTGTTCCAAAGACAAAGGGATGGTCTTATGGGTTTGGAATGACAAAGATGAGCAAATGATGATGAAATGTTCATTTTTTGGTGAACCAACCCTTTTAAGGAGTAGTTCACTTTTAAAAAACTTTTGCTGATAATTTACTCACCCCCATGTCATCCAAGATGTCATTCAGTTGAAAAGAAATGAAGGTTTTTGATGAAAATATTCCAGGATTTTTCTACATATAATGGACTTCAATGGGAACCAAACGGTTCACGGTCCAAAAGACAGTTTCAGTGCAGCTTCAAAGGGCTTTAAACGACACCAGACGATGAATAAGGGTCTTATCTAGCGAAACAAGCGGTCGTATCAAAAATAAATAACAAAGTTTAAGTTTTATAAGCACAAATGCTCGCCTTGCTCTGTTCTGTGATGAGCGCTCGTGACTCTCCTGTTCGAAAATGAACAAATCCTTTTTCGAGTCATTTCATTCGTTGAATTAACCAAATGACTCGAAAAAAGATTCATTCATTTTGATGAACGAGTTTGAAGCTTATAAAACTTAAACTTTGTTATTTATTTTTGAAATGGCCGATCGTTTCGCTAGATAAGACCCTTATTCATCGTCTGGTGTCGTTTAAAGCCCTTTGAAGCTGCACTGAAACTCTCATTTGGGCCTTGAATCGTCTGGTTCCCACTGAAGTCAATTATATGGAGAAAATCCTGGAATGTTTTCATCAAAAACCTTAATTTCTTTTCGACTGAAGAAAGAAAGACATGGACATCTTGGATGACATGGGGGTGAGTAAATTATCAGCAAACGTTTTTTTAAAAGTGAACTTTTCCTTTAAGTGTTCATTGCTGAACATCTACTCACAGAGGTTCTGGGGAGTGAACGGCTGGGGCGTCCTGGGTTCCCAGTCATCCATGTCAGAATCATCACTATCATTGTCTTCTTCCTCGTCCTCTGAGTCTACAGTGGAATCCGTGGCCCCCAGGGGACTCGACGAAGCCTCCGCCATGTTGGGGAGAGACACATTAGTCACAGCAAGTTGGCTCTGTCAGGAAAATAATCAGTGTCTAGTCAACATTGCTTCACTAATGCTTTATTTCATACACTTCAGTCTCGAATGCCTGTGGCAGAACAATGTTAAGAAGTCTTTCAGGTGTTTAGCAGTGCAGGGTCACCTGTGGCACGGGTTCCAGGATCGCCTGTGGGCCATCAGCGACGTTGCTTAACACATGCAGATTGGCGGTGTTCATATTCTGACCGCTGGGTAGCAACACAGTCACCTGGGGCATCAGGTCACGTTAGTGGTCAACATCAATGGGCAATTGCTAAAATATTACATTTGCAACCAGATGGTATTATTTATATGGTACATGTAAAAATCAAAAAGATCATAATGCCACAGAACCTGTTGTGTTGTGCCATCTTGCTGAATGTAAGCCACTTGGGGTTGATCTGTAAACTGAACAAGACCGAAAAAGAGCAGTAAACCTTTAGAGTTGCTGTGACATGAACAGTATATGTTTGTGATTATTTTTCATCATGAGTGCATATGCAAGGATAATGTACTATCGTCAAATTAACTCAAAGTGATCCGGTCATGTATCACTTTTGAATATTTTAATATTTTGAACACTTTTAATATTAGCTGTTTAATGCATTAAAAATAATAAACGCAATTAACACATAAATAGCTGCTCACTTCTTATTTGCCAGGGGTTTTCAAAAGAGGGAACATTAATTAGCTTTATATTGAAAAATTGTCTGACTAGCTGCCTTCCCCGTCTTACTCTCTCTTCTTTTTCATGTTTCTCTTTCCTCTTTTGGTATCCTGATTTTGTCCTCGCCATCTATCTGATGTGTGAACTGTGAAGTGCCGCATTTCTGAATAATCCACAAACGTCTTAAAGGAGTAGTTCACTTTAAAAAAAAAACAACTTTTGCTGATAACTTACTCACCCCCATGTCATCCAAGATGTCCATGTCTTTCTTTCTGCAGTTGAAAAGAAATTAAGGTTTTTGATGAAAAAATTTCCAGGATTTTTCTCCATATAATGGACTTTATTGGGTGCCAAACGGTTCAAGGTCCAAATGACAGTTTCAGTGCAGCTTCGAACTTGTTCATCAAAATAAACTAATCTTTTTTTCGAGTCATTTGGTTCATTCAACGAACGAAATGAACAAAATGACTCAAAAAAAGATTAGTTCATTTTGATGAACGAGTTCGAACAGGAGAGTCACGAACGCTCATCACAGAACAGCGCAAGGCGAGCATTTGAACTTATAAAACTTAAACTTTGTTATTTATTTTTGATATGACCGCTCGTTTCGCTAGATAAGACCCTTATTCATCGTCTGGTGTCGTTTAAAGCCCTTTGAAGCTGCACTGAAACTCTCATTAGGACCTTAAACCGTTTGGTTCCCATTGAAGTCCATTATATGCAGAAAATCCTGGAATGTTTTCATCAAAAACCTTAATTTCTTTTCGACTGAAGAAAGAAAGACATGGACATCTTGGATGACATCTGACATCATCTCTATGCAGTTTCCACATTAATTCGGAGGATCAAAATGAAATATATACATCTCCACTGGTAGATGAGCTCACCTGTGTTCCATCGGCAGGGTGTATGTAAACCAGTGTGTGTTCGGCGGACTCAACAGAGGTGTAGGAGCTTCCGTCTGCAGCGTATAAAACCTGCTGCTGACCACGGTCTGACTGCTCTCCACTGTACACGATCTGGGCCACCGCACCGGCCTCGAAGTGCACCTGCACACCCGTAACACACAAAAACAGGTGAACCTCGTGAAAACATGTCAAAGTGGGATTTCATACTCCCATTCATTAGAAATATAAAAAGAAGTGCATGTTTTATTCAAACTGTTGTAAAAAACGTTAAACTAACTTACAGGGATAGTTCACTTTAAAATAGATTTTTGATATGTTTTAGCTTACTTCAAGTGCATCCAAGATGTAGCTGTCTTTATTTCCGCAGTATTTTCAATTTTGATATTTTTAGGTCAAACCGTTCTGGTCTGTCAGTCATATAATGGAGGTCTATGGTCACCACCTCAAAGAGCATGCACAGAGAAGTCCAAATCAAACATGATTTAATGACTCGTAAATGTAAGTACACATTGATGGCCTAAGACATGAAACGAACGGTTTGTCTGAAAAAACGAACAGTATTTATATCGTTTTTACCTCTTGTTAGCACAGCCACAAAGCCCCGCGATCTCAGATCACTTGGACGTGGCTGTGATAACAAGAGGTAAAAATGATATAAATACTGTTCGTTTTCTCACACAAACCGCTCGTTTCGTGTCTTAGGCCATCAATGCTTACTTAAATTTACGAGTCATTAAATCATGTTTAATTTGGACTTCTCTGTGCATGCTCTTTGAGGTGGTGACCATAGACCTCCATTATATGACTGAAAGATTAGAACAGTTTGACCTAAAAATATCAAAATTGAAAATACTGCGGAAACAAAGACACCTACATCTTGGATGCCCTTGAGGTATGCTAAAACATGCCAAAAATGAATTTCAAAGTGAACTATCCTTTTAATAGTTTATAGATAACTCAACAGTTGTTCATAGCTAGGTAATAAATCTAAAGAGAAAGGTCTGGCTGTACCTGAGGTGTATTTCCCGTGTCATTGTTGGATGCCGGACTCCACACAGGTGACGACTCCTGCTTGGCCTCCATGGCAACCGTATGACACCTCCTTCACCTATCCACCTGTCATCAACCACCTGTGTGTTCATTATAGAAACTGACTTGTTTATCAAGAATTTATTAATTTCCGTAGTGGTAGGTTTGAGATGATATTCACCAATGATCGCGCGCGTGAACTCAACAATCGACTACTGTGGGCTTCGACCAAAAACAGGAAGCAAATAGAGAGGTATATGTGAGCTGGCTGAATTCATATTAATATTCATATCTTTCACATCTACTGCAGTCAGATTGACCATGGTAACTCTTAATAACACAACGACTCACTTTGCTGTGCACTCGTAATGACAAATCAAGGATGTTAAGAGGCTAAAAGCAGGTTTAGAACATGAAGTCAACAGGATGCGAATTTTAAAAAGACGATAACACGGTGTAGGCAACACCGAATTTTGTCGTTTTTGTCTGTACTGACAGCACTCCAAATGTACAAAAAAATTAGCTCATTGTTAAAATTGACCGGAGTTCTCCTTTAAAAGGTAACTAAGTAACATAATTTATTACTTTTTAAGGGTGTAAGTTAACATGAGTAAAAGGAGTAACGGGGGTAAATATTGCATTACTTTTCAAAGTAACTTTTTTAAAATTTTTCAATTTCTCTGATTTTTCCAGGGTTTTCCAAGACTGTGAATCTTGTACAATGTATCCTGTATTTTCCAAAATAATGTAAGAACTCTCTTACAAAAAAAGGACTGTATTGGTGGTACTATGGTACTGTGATGGCATCGCACCATGATAATAGAAGCCATACATGGTTACTCCAATGTTCTTAAAAAATAAAATCATGATTAATCTATATAAATGACATGAATATGGTTCAATAGGATTTCTGAAGTATACGGAACAGAGATAAGTTTGACACATTTCACCCGTTCATTATTGTATTTGTGATTTATTGAAAGCTCGCCGTTTAACCCAAATACAGGCACCCCGTACTGGCGGTCAGTCTAATCACTGCACGGGGGTAGAGGAGATACATGGCTGGACAGAAAATCCCTAACAGCCGTCCTGGGAGAAATAACACACGCAAACGCCTATAACCCCGGCCTTCTTCAAACCCTGAGACTAATTCAGAGATTATAAACGCTGTAATGGTGAATGAAGCATTCAGGGTGTTTGTCAGGCTCTCTCCCCCCCTGTCTAAAGCCTGCAGGTTGGGAGTTCCATTCGGACTATACCACACACAACCCGCAGCGGCATATAAACATTTCCACTCCGGCATTATCAGACATTAACCCGCACTGGAAGCCAGCAATGATAGTGGGATGAGAGCAGATGCACTGTTTTACCCGGAACGTCACTGCGGTGTCGTTTTATTCTAGCGCATTGGTTTCATGGAGGTTTTTGAATGCGGGACAGGGGAGCTTGGCTCCCTGCTCATAGATGAGCTCGGCCGGCGGGCGCGCTCAGTGAGTGTCTGCAGCAGAATGAGGAAGACACGCCACGACTCCATTTTGGGTGGGACTAAGACAACAACAAAGCACGGCGAAGACACTCAACAAAATATATCTACAACCTAATCGACCGTCCAACGGAAAACAGGCTGTGAATTGTACGTGACACTTACTGAGAGACGATCCTGAATCCCCGCTTAAGCTTCGGGTGCGGATTTCCCGATAGTTTTGAGCATTTTTAGGAAAAGGTTGAAGTGGGTCTTCCCTCTGAATGGTAGCTGCAGAGATGGCTGCCTTGCATATATTAACATAACCTACCTAGCAACAGACGCGCGGCCCCGGTCGACGATATGCACATTATATGACGATATGAGTTTTTCAGGAACGATGGGGCTAAAGTAATATATTTGTTGTGGTGGTTAAATTACGCGTCTTTGAATTTTGATATGTATAGATTGTTTTTCATTTCGAGATAATTGGGATTTCATGCTCGTACTGCGTTTTCCTCTCAGGACCAATAAGAATTTTCCGCCATGTCTCCCAACCAATGAAAAACAGAAAAACGTCTTCAAGTCCGTCCAATGAGAAAAAAGAGAAGGTGCCAGCCAGAGACGTACCAATGGCATTTCAAGCGCGTCACACAAACAAGCACGTAATCCCTGTGTACATGTAACGTTAGGCACGTATACAAATTCATTTACACATAAATAAATATATATATATATATATATGTGTGTGTGTGTGTGTTTTCTACAGTCTCTAAAGTTGCTTGGACACTTTCCCATTTAATGAGGTGGTTTCCCTGGATACTTTAGATCGGCCGTGGACCCTGTCTCTCATCAACAGCCTGTTCGAGAGTTCATTTGAACAGTTTCTGCGAGTTAAAAACTGAAATCGGTCTACTTTCATCAGATATAATAAGAATAGTTCTTATATACTAGTACACAAACCAGAATAAAGACAACACAATGACACATCAATGGAAGTAGTGAATTTATTGATGTTTCCCACCTGTAACCAAGATACAAGCCATATTTCCACTGGTTTCAATCATATTTTACTTCTAATATATGAACTTTGTATTATTTTCCCCTCACCCCTACGACCATTTCCACAATCAAGCAGGCAATGACAAGGTCCAAGATTGGAACCATTTAGGTGCATAGTGAAAGTCACATACAGAAATACTGTCACAGGAAGAGGGAAAAGAATAGAAAACAAAAGAACGGAATAAACTAAAAAATATATCATAACATCTCATAAGAACAATGCACACCACAGGATGTCCTTGATAAAAGCCATGATTGCAACATCAACTATACAGGCATACAAAGACATTGCTAAGAAGGGGGGAAGAGAGAGAAAACCAAAATTGATTCAATTTTTTCCTTGCCTTCCATATTAGTGGACATGCAAAACATTTCTTTCACCTGCCTTGGCCTCCAGCTGGTTAATTTTAGTGCATTTTTGCGCTTTACGTCCTTGTGGGTCAAATGCTATAAACAATACACATCATATTACAATTACAGACGACTCCGGTGACGGATCTACGCTCTCTTTGATTTAAGCAATGTGTGCAAAGGTTTGCCACATGATAAAACTCCCCATGTCAGTTCTCATTTGGCAGCTATGAAATGAAAATGCAGTATAATTGTGATTAACATGAGCTGAATGCAACATTTTATCTGGCCAGATTTACTCGATAAAAGGGGAGTGTTGGAGTGTGTGGATGTGACGCCAGGACCATTTCTTCTAGTAGAATCCGAGTAAACAGACATTTTAGTGTGATAAGGGAGACTGGAGGCCCCGAACCTTGTGGCCCTCTGTGCTTCAAACCAATGAGCAATGAGCATCTGCAGGGGCCGTACTGTTTAATGGTCCAAGTATATGACACCATAACCAAGAGATAAAAAACAAAAGACATGGTAATGTTATTGAAATCGGGCACCTCTACATTCACAATCAGCCAAAATATCTGGCAGGCTGTCACGCCATTCTGTTTGAACCATTCATCGTATCTTACACAGGTGATGGTATCAGATGTTTGGACCGCGCTATCAGTCCTTTAATCTCAAAGTTTAAACCTGTAACCCAGCCAAGATTTAAGCTCTGGGAGAAAAAATATGAATAAATTTACCATCTACTTTTTTTTTTTTTTCTGTTTATGTATACCATGTGTTTTTAATAATTACAAAGTAAACGATTGAATGATTTCTTCTCATATTTTCTGATTCACTATACATTTAAGTTGTTACAAATAACCTTCATATACAAGCAATCTATTTAAAAGAAGTATATCCGGCGGCCAGCGATGGTGTAGACAAACTGCTGTGTCTTTATATTGATTGTTTCGGCTTTGCTGTACCACTATAGGCTAGATCTTTATAAAATTAACATTTAAAACAACATTATAATACTCTCCAATTTTATTTACGGAAAATCAATTCCATGCTAAATTTGCGGAATCACGTTCTCCTGATTTAAAACCACTGATAAATTGCCTTTGAAAGAAAAAAAAACAAAGTTACAAGAGCATAAAATTGCGCTCCATGGTACAACAGTAGCAGTATTAGAAGTAGTAGTATTAATAAACTGTTGTTTTTTTTAAATGAACCAGAATATGCATTTCAAATGCATGAAATGATTTGAGAGCAGTTTTATATTGGTCAGTAGTATGTTCACCCCTCTCTAGCTCCACAGCCCCCTTAATGGCTAAATCTGCATCTGCTCCAGATATTTGTAGGTGGGGTTTTCATAGCCATGGTTCTGCATCTTGCTCAGGTGACGTTCTTCTGGAGATAGCATAGGGTCAACCTGAAACACAAGAGGAAGATTGAACATGTCACTACATCCATAAAAAATATACACTACTGTTCAAATGTTTTAGAAAAAACACAGTAAAAACTAAAAGTGAAATTATTATTACAATTTAAAATAACGTTTTCCATTTGAATACATTTCAAAACGTCATTTATTCCTGTGATGTCAAAGCTGAATTAGCATCATTACTCCAGTCTTCAGAGCTGATTTTGTGATCATGAAACATTTCTTCTTATTATCAATGTTGTAAACAGTTGTGCTGCTTAAAGTTGCAGTAAGCGATTTCTAAGGGTCTGTTTACACCTGGTCATATCATGCATTTTGTCTGGATCAGATAGCTATGTAATTTGTTAAAACGGTATGAGCTGAATTTTATCATCAGCTTATTTCCAGATCAAAGACAGCGGCATCAGCACGGGTAAGATCATTTAGTCTCAATACCTTCAATGAAGATGATTGTGTGTTGAGCGGCTGCGACTTTGTTTTATTTGCGGCATTTTACACGTTGGCCTGATGAAGATTGATAATTAACATTTTGGGAGTAATACAATTTACATATGTGATTTCAACAACCAGATGCATTTAGACTTGTCCAGTTTTGTGCGGAATAAAGACGATCGGGTTTAAAGAGGGCATTTACAGCTGGTCTTTTCACGATCGGATAGCAATCCGATCTGAGAAAACATAAAGTGACCAGGTGTAAACTATTGACATTTGAAATGGACACCCAAAGAAACACACCCCTGACCCTCCCTTCATTGCTCCGCCCCCAAAGTATTGAACACGCTATGCAACACAGGCATTGGCTAACAGCTTGTGCAAGTATGGATGAATCAGCTGTGATTCAACAGCATATCTCGGCTTTGTGAAACAGCAGAAACAAAAATGTTAGACACATCAAGCAGAATCAAAAGTAACCTCGGCATCCATATTCAGGCCTTCCCGCTCTCTAATGTCTCTCAAGGGCTGGAAAGCTTTTCCAATATTAACTTCTTCCAATTAAATTCCTCCGACCTTTCCCTCTTTGGTAATATCTCCGCTAACTCTATTTCTACAGTCTTTCTACAAAAGTCCCGCTTACTCACTCTCTCCCCTCCTTCATCATCACGAGTGGACACGTCCCTATGTATTTACTCATGTATGAATAACACAATATTTTTTCAGCACACACAGAACAGACATAAGCAAATTGATTTAAATTTTCAATAGTTTCTCAGAACTTTGATATTTTTTACTTTAATGACTAGACAGTTCAAAAGAACAGCATTTATATGAAACAGAAATCTTTTTGTAACAGTATAAATGTCTTTTACTGTCACTTTTGCTCAATTTAATGCGTCCTTGCTGAATATTGATTTTTTATATATATATATATATATATATATATATATATCCCTTTCACTGACTTCTCAAGCAAATGGTTGAGCACATTTTGATTCACTATATTTTACTGAGAGGAGTACCTAACTTAACTCAAACTGATTGAGCCTTCTCTATCATCTAGTTGAGGTATATTATGCCCAAAAAATCCACTAGATTTCACAGTGCCAATCAACAGCACTTGTCACAACTCTTCTTCTAACATGGATGTCAGAAACAAATAAATCACCCCAGGCATGTGAACTGTTTTTGGTGAAATTTTGCAAGCTAAGCATATTTTTTTTTTTTACATATTACACTGTAAGAGTCCTAACTTTACAAAATGATGTTACTTGGTGCTGTAATAATTTTTCAAAAACATGCTCACCCAAACGGTTGATTGTCACTAGAGCCCGACCGATAAAGGATTTTGAAGGCCGATACCGATACAAATATTTTTTGGTTTTAAAATCCGATATTCCGATATATCTGCCGATATATATATATATTTTTCTCAGAAACGCGCAACAAAACATTAACAGATTTCCCTAACATAGTTATTTGTAGTTATTTATGAGTTAACTAAAATAATATGATATATAAATAAAATAATAATTAGTCCCCACATTGCCTTATAAGCAACCTTATAATTACAATGTCAGGTTAGCTAGTCTATGATGAGCCATAATTTAGCAATAGATAATGTCATACTGCAAATTGTAAAACATACATTTTCAATTTAACAGGCCAAGGAGAGATGGTTGAAGCGTGTTTCGTCCGTTTTTATTTTATTTTTGAAATATTCATTTATCGGCCATTATAACTGCCGATACCGATAGTTTGGAAAATGTCTAATATCGGCCGGCCGATATATCGGTCTGGCTCTAATTGTCACCCCGCTTTTTGAGAATGGACATTCCAATGCACTATTAAAACTTGGTTGTAAATCAACTATGCTTTGGAATAAAGACCTAAGTTTAGTCTTATTTTAAAGAAAACACTCAGCAGATTATTGCTGAAGTAAAAGCACTTCAAAAAATAAAAGTATGAAAAAGTTATGGAAGTTTTAAATTTACATTAAGTCAAATATACTATAAATATTTTTTCCTATAAAATCAAAGCCATATATCTAACCAAGTTGTGTTCCAAATTTGAAGTTGATATCACAAAAATTTTGTTTAGGCGTAATACCAAAAATGACGAATTGAATTTAACTGTATGCATTTTGCTGTAACAAATGAATACATTTCTGTCCAGATATCACTTCTGTTACAAAATATGGAACCTTGAGACTCAGACCTTTATGTGTTTTGTCAAGGCTAGAAAAGGTTTTGATCATAAATTATGATGGGCAATGAAAAAATATGGCAAAGTATGTATGTGTATGAATTCCGGTACCATTTATTACCATTAAGTGACATCTCAACCATTTGGTAGAGACCGATATTTTAAAAATTATGGGATGTGTTGAAAAAAAATACATTGAGTGTGGTTACTGCAAACAAAACATTTTTCCATCACTTTTTTCCAAACCTTTCAATGGGAGTGTACGTATATTCATTAACATTTGTATATAAAAGATAAAATAACTAATATTTTGTCCTCGAGTGCTTTGAGCGAGAGCATTATCTTTCACAGGGGTCTCAAACCTTTTTGTAGTTATCCTCAAGGTTGCATTGAAAACAACAACAATGAATGATGGAGCGTCATGTGTGACCGTTAGCTCACCTCCACAATGCCGTGACTGATGGTGCCGTACTGCCTCTTCCTCAGCAGCACCAGACTGATCACAATCACCGTCGCTATGGCCACCGCAATCACCAGCAGGCCAATCAGAGCGCTGCTTCCAAAGCTGAAGTCATCCACCAGGGGGCGGAACGTCTCCTTCTCTGATCCACGACTGAACTGCGAGGGAAAAATAAACAACCGCGGATTTACACTCCCAAAGCACAAAGAGCTACGGCAAACATGGCTCAACGCTCGTACTGTAACTTGTGTACAGTAATACAGTAACAACAATACAGTCTTGCACGTAAATCAAGCCTGTGTGATTATTTTTCATTCTGAATTTGTTGCATTTTCTATCACAAAACAGTCATCTTAAGGCATCGGTTCCCATCATTCACTCACCCTCATGTCATTCCAAACCTGTAGGACTTTCTTTCTTCTGCTGAACACAAACTGAGATGTTTTGAAGCATGTTCATGCTGATCTTTTACAACATTATCTCTCTGTGCTCCACTAAAGAAAGTCATACAGGTTTGAAAACATCATGAGGGTGAATGATGACAGAAGTTTCATGTTTCCCCATAAAGCCTAATGTGTAATATTTGATACACACCAAAAAAAACTGGTCTTGATTAGGTTGTTCTGAAGGAATGTAAAAAAATGTTTACACTTCTGTTCTTCGGGGTCAATATGACCCCACACTGAAATGAATGGGAAATGTGAAAAAAACAAAACAAAACGTAATATATTTTCTTCATGTGTAAAAAAAAAACTGAAAATTTTTACACACAAATGAAGGCCTAGTACTAGAGCATAAATGCAATGTATCATAAAAAAATAATATTTCATATGCAAGCTAATGGTGTAGTTGAGGAATTGTGTGGTATATGGATACAAAAGTACTTTACATCTCCAAAAACACTAACAAAAAATTATACATTATTTGTATGATTAAAAATGTATCTTTTTTGTACAATTACTCAATCAATTGTTGGGGTCGTATAGTGTAAACAGGAAACGAAGACCATTTGAAGGTTAAATATCATCTTACTAAAACATTATTGGGAGATAGTAACTGATATTTATATGAATTGTATGTAAATAGTCTGTTATACAATTATAAAGATGTCAATTTACAGTACAATCTATTAAAACGTCATCTTTCTTTTTGGTCATATATATATCAGCACTTGCAAATTACATTTTTGCTCAGTTTGGGGTTATAGCACTTGAGTATGAGCTTCATATTATCACTTTATAATACTATAGGAGAAATAATAATAATAGTATGAAATACATGTTGAATAAATTCTTCCATTAAAAAAAAACAACTTTACATTTTCAAGATCAAAATTGAGCTTATGGCATGAATGAATGTGTTGGTAGTTGGTAGCTTCACAAAGTGAAAAGCTGAATGTGCACAGACAGCCAAAGACAGCCGTGACTGGCAGTTTTCACACGCAAATGTTAAGTGCTCAATTCCATTTGTGTGAGAAGCTAATGATGGCGAATGACGCATATCCACCGGACATGCTCATGCGTCTCGCATTAAAAACATGCACACGTGCTGTGGAGGATTGTGACAAACGATGTAAAACTGTCATTTGCTCACAGGTCGAAGTGAAGCAGCCTACTGTAATCCCCCACCAACCCATTTACAGCCCATATGAGACTGCAGCGTTTGTGGGCACAGGAGGGCGCTGTACTTACCAGAGGATCAACACCCTTCAAAATCACTTCTTTAACATCCAGAGTCTCATCAATCACCTGTCAACACAGACAGGGTAGTCTCAGTTACTTTGTTGAGAACTGAAGATTGAGTCAGTGTGTGAGATGTGCAGTGTCTATTAGATTACTGAGAGAGTGTGAGATTGAGGGGGACCAACTGTTAAAGTTAAAAAAAAAGGTCATTGAAAAATGCTAATTGAGCGACACCTAACCTGATCCCTTCAATGTCTGTCATGGTTTTGGTGCTGTTTACAGCAATAGATGGGTATTAATACTGTGAGCAAATCCAAAATAATCCATCAGCTTTGATACAGTGACTATGTCCTTGTTGAAGACATGGCCGGTTGCATTTAATGAAGGAAAAACAAGCATTTTCATCTTGGTATTGTGCTATCAGACACTAAAACACCTAAATGTGTATTGCAAAACATTAAATAAAGGGCTAATCAGAGCATAGTCACCCAAAATGTACATCACTGAGTGAAACATAATATATATATATATATTTTGAAGAATGCTGGAAACTGAGCAGTTTTGGTTCCCATTGGCTTTCATTCTATTTTTTGTTCATACAAAGGAAGTCATTGGGAACTGAAACTTGGTTACCAGCATTCTTCAAGATGTGATAAGACATGATGAGAGATTTTCATTTTTGGGTGGACTATGCCTTTTTTGCAGCTTAGATTCTCATCAACCTCTGATAGCACCTCTGTGTGATTTCACGAAGACAAACATGCAGAAATATTGTACAAACAAAACAAGGCGAACAGAGAGATCATGCATTGCAAGTCTGCAGCTCAGCCCTTCACAACCGCACGGGCTCTTCCAGGAGACTGGAATGTGACTGGGAAATATGTGAACGTGGCATGCAATGAATGAGATAAAAATGAAATAAACCAGACTTCTGGAAAGAGATAGCAGAGCAGTGATTGCAAGGCAGCAAGTTTATGGTAAGATTAGATGTCAGGCATTGGTTCAGTGGAGGCTAAAGATTTTTAAAACAGACCCCAATTACAATTCAGTTTGCAAATAAATGCAAGAAAGGAGTCCAATCGGAATTCAACATGCAAGCCATATGATGACAACCATTGAATGCCTAACAGATTAAGAAGTAAATTATATATTTTTATACAAAAATAAATAAATAATAATAATAAGTAGAGCACTGACATTAGTAAGTTTTTTTTAAAGGATCAGCCGAAAATTTGTGAAAACTTTCAGCTGCTCACTGCAGGTTGTACTGTCTTGTAAAGCTGCTTTGAAACCATATTTATTATAAAAAAGGAGGCAAGAAATAAGTTTTAAATGAATATAAAATCTTTAAATTTAAATCTAACATTAATAATAGGTTAAAAAAAGAAGATAATCTGTCAACATGATACAGAGAAAATAGTTACTAGAACTTTATTTCATTTTTTAGTAAAATGACAATTTAATTAAATCCATTTATTTAAAGGAGTAGTTCACTTTTAAAAAAACTTTTGCTGATAATTTACTCACCCCCATGTCATCCAAGATATCCATGTCATTCTTTCTTCAGTCGAAAAGAAATTAAGGTTTTTGATGAAAACATTCCAGCATTTTTCTCCATATAATGGACTTCATTGGGAACCAAACGGTTCAAAGTCCAAAAGACAGTTTCAGTGCAAATTGCAAACTGTTCAATAGGCTTTAAACGATTCCAGACGATGAATAAGGGTCTTATCAAGCGAAACGATCGCTCATTTAAAAAAAAAAATGAAACAATGAACAAATCTTTTTCCGAGTCATTTGGTTCATTCCACGAACAAAAAGAACAAATTGACTCGGAAAAAGATTCGTTCATTTTGATAAACATTTTTTTTTAAATGAGCAATCGTTTCGCTTGATAAGACCCTTATTCATCGTCTGGAATCGTTTAAAGCCTATTGAACAGTTTGCAATTTGCACTGAAACTGTCTTTTGGACCTTGAACCATTTGGTTCCCAGTAAAGTGCATTATATGGAGAAAAATCCTGGAATTTTTTCATCAAAAACCTTAACTTCTTTTTCGACTGAAGAAAGAATGACATGGACATCTTGGATGACATGGGGGTGAGTAAATAATCAGCAAAAGTTTTGAACTACTCCTTTAATTCTGCTAACAATGTAGTCTTCATAATATAACTTTTTTTTACAACATATAAATGCCTTTATATTTTAAAAGGGGGTGATCATCACATTTGGGGGTCCTTGGCATAAAAACATTTGAAAATTCCAAAACAATATGGAGAGAGAAAACAAAAGCTATGGGACTCCAGTGCTGCCTTGCAAGCGCTGTAAAGACAAATAGTTCTACACTAAACATAATTAGACTTACAGAGCAAACTGTCTGTATTATTTAGCCGTTCATCTAGGTGTATCGTGAAGGCATTTCTATATTTTACCATTAGCACTTAAACTGAATGTTTATAATAGTGCTAAATTGTTATTTTTTGTTAGTTTATGTAAATGACATGAGAGTTGGCAAAGTGTCCACAACAGAGCAGTAAAGTGTGTGTGTGTGTGTGTGTGTGTGTGTGTGTGTGTGTGTGTGGTGCTCGAGGCAGTCTGGTGGTCTCACCACATTTTCGTTGATCTTGCTCTTGCTGTTGATGACTTTTTCCTCCGCTCCAATCAGACCATCCAGACTGTTCATGCCAGAGCCTGCAGAGGGAACAGCCAACCAGAGTTAGAAGTTTCTGCATTAAATCAAACATCCCCGTGATCAACAGTAGCTGCCATTAAGACCATCAATTATTAGCCGATTCATGGCCAGAAACCTGCTGCCTTGCCAATTTGTTTAGGGGGCGGCACACCAACACACTCATTCATTAGTCATGCACTTATTACAGTGTATGATGTAGAAGCTCCCACTGACTGAACCCCTGGATCAGCCCAGACAAGCTCAGTGTTAACATTCAGCTCGCAGTAAGAGAGAGGTGTGATCTACTGTGGTCAAAAGGTCTCGTCCTGGAAGAATTAGTCCCTTGAGACATCCTGTGAGCACTTGTTTCCAGTAACAGCTCTATAAATGGACCTACATATTAAACAATTAAAGTCAACATGAACCTGCATTCATAACCCATTTTACTACCACAGTGTGACATTTCTGAATGAAACAGCTGACAGGATGGTCAAAAGTGGTCGTTCAATACCAGAACCAGGAAATAGGCCATTTAAACTTAAACCTGCTAGGAACTGACTTGGCTAATGGTCAAGTACTGATGTTTTCAAAAAGTTAACACTTCTTTTCAATATTAAAGAGCATATTGCAGGTAAAAAATAAATCAATCTAAATTTATAGATAACCTTGTATGAAAATACCATGTGAAAAGTTAATGCAGGATTTAAAATGTTTTAAAACAACATAAAGGCACTAATTTAGTAGATAAAGTGAGCGTTTCCTGGACTGCTCGTAAAAACGGCTCTTTTTTTCAACATCGCGTCATTTTACGTCACGTTAGGGAGCGTCAGCCTCGGCTCAGGGCAGAGTCGGCTGGTGTTCAGTGAGAGCGCTCATCAGTCAGTGTGCTTTTGGTAGTTTTTGTATTTTAATTTATCATCGTCATGGTAAATTATTGTGTTTGTGGAGGTTGCAAAAACTCCGGCCTGTCAGGACTTTTTCAGGGACGGTGCTATAGCCTATATCTTTCGTTTCTGGTGCGGTTTGTGCAGGTGAAGAGACGGGATTTCTCTTGCGCATCGGCTTCGGAAAACGCGGTCGTGTGTAGCGTTCACTTCAAATCAAATGATTATCAACCCCGCGATATGATGGAGTTCAACATGGGATGCCGAAGCAAGAATATTGATCGTCGTATACTGTACCAATGGCAACAGATAGTGTGATATAGGTAACTTAGTCATGCCCTAAATAGAGGCAACTTGTAATTGAAAAACAAAATTGGTTGTTTAAAGAGTAACTAAACACTAAACCAACTTTTTTTAGTTAATTGTCTGTAATAATGGATATTTATTAATACCAGTCATTGATTCAAGTAACTTTTTTGACATTTGTTTATAAAGTGTTTTATTTCTACAATATATGGATGTATAAAACGTCTTAGTGCTGCCCTCTTCAGGTTAAACGGTGGCTACTGCAGTTGAATTTTCCTATTGGATGTCCCGCATTTCGTGACGTACGCAGGTTTCAGCTCACCACGCGAGCTACGCCCTTGGCAGTATAAAAACCATCTTGTGTCGTCAAAACCACTGTAGGGAGTCAGGAGTTGGAATTGCGAGTATTGAAAACGATCAGGATAGAGTGTTTTAGCATCTATTTCATCCCCTCTATCTCCGCTGGGGTCTGCCCACTTTTTCAGTATTTTCAAATATTGCCAGTGGGTGGAGTCAGGCTCTGACCAGGGGTTTAGTTACCATTTAAATACTCAAATCTTTAATTTTCTGTTTATGTTATAACCCAAGTAAAAAATATGTATTGAAAATATAGCTGTATGCTTTTAGTACACTAGAAATCTACTCAAGTATAGTTTTTAAACATTTAATAGTATAAATCTACTAGGGATGCACCGATATGAATATCTTCGATATTTTCTCGGCCAAAATATCACCGATATCACCGATAACCAATAATTCTTTATACTTGAAAGCCGATAACCGATATTTTGGCCGATAAATCTAAATCCAAATTTTTATTTCATTTTTGAGAGTCTGATTACAAAAACAAAAGCCTCACCATTAAAATCCATATCCCAGTCACATCATATAGTTTACATGGACTATATGACAGACTTGTGCCACACTAAACTGTATTTTCATTTTTTGTCCAATAATTTTCAAGCAATTAATGTTGAACAGTGCATCTGAAGCGTCTCAGCTTAAGGAAATAATACATTAATTATCAGCTTTAATATATCGGCCTAATTTTCTTATCAGGCCGATAATGATAACACTAAAAATTAACATATATCGGCCGATACCGATATGGCATGCATCAGTAAAATCTACCCTAAACATAATAATGTCTGCTGGCCTGTTATAGGATCATAATAATCTGTACAATATTGTGAGCACAGTGTATACCGTTAGCGAACGTGTATATCTATAAGCACGTCTCTCCCCAAAAGACACCTGTCCTGTTCTCCATTGGTTCTCCTCAAACCACAACTCAATTTGTCTTTGACCGATCTGTCTAACATTATCCTGGCCTGTCCTGCTCTATTTACTTTATGCCTGTGGTCCGTCATACGAGTATTTCCTCAGCGTCCGAAATGTCATTGCGATCCATTGTTTTCCTGTTGTTTGAATAGACCCTTCTCCCGCCCGTTGCGTCACGCCCATTTTCAGACGCGGAAGTAAAATTTTCACTCAAAAACGACTCCAGAAGCTTCTGTAGCGTATTTATAACTATATTTTAAAGAAAATCTAGTTCCTACATTGTTTTTCTATGCATTGACTCGGTGGGTCCTCTAACCTGCAATATGCCCTTTAATATAGTTTAAAACAAAATTCTTTTAAACTATATTATTTTCGTAATGACTCTTTTAAAAAGCATGCTAAACATACTTTTCTTTTATAAGGGACATACAATTAGATGTATATTATTTTAAAACATTAAACAGCATAAATAGCATAGTGATAGCAAAGTCAATGCTGGAAGCTTCTAAAGACACCTGGCTAAAATGAGTCCTGGTTGCATAATACCACGTCGGAGAAATCTCATTGGTTAAGAGGAGAACAATACCTTTCGCCCACACTCATTGTTTGACTGTCAAAGCAGCAGGTCACCGCCAATAAAAGATTAACTACGTTCAGCGGTTCAGTCACAAGTTCTGGAGAGAAGCGCTTGCAGCCTTACCATGCACGACTGAACCATAAAATACATATATACACACTACTGGCAAAATGGAGGTGAGAGTGTGTAACTAAGACAATTAGACTTCACAAGTGAAATGAGACAACAAAAACAAAAAGACCAATCAGAGATGGACATTTTCAGAAAGAAAATGTGGGTAGTGCTCACCACCACGATGCTAGTGCTTGTCAGGTGTTTCTAAACAGTTTCTAAGGCATTCTGGGAGTTTTTTTTACCTAGCTCCTGGGGCCAAGTGATTGATAGCTAGCTCATGTAAAAGAGCCCATCCTCCTCAGGTCCGTCTGCTAGCTACAATGTTACGTAATTAAAATCATCCATCAGATGAAAACTGTCCGATCACCATTTTAAAAGTAAGGGCACACCACTCTTTAACAAGCTGCATGATTTTAAGTATCATTAATGTCTTTAGTGCAAACAATATGGTACAATTTATACTCTAAAGCTTAATATTCATGGTTAGAGTGTCGTTTCAATTCTCAACCCCCAAGTATCCAATAGCAATAGTGCATTTGTAAGCTTTGTAAACATCATTAATAATCTAAGAGTATCTTAAATGTGTATTCATATGAGGTGGGACCACAAGGTTAAATGGTAAACAGGTTTATGTTCCAATTCTACAATCTGGGAGCAAAAGCTAGCTATGGGTCAGTTGAATAAGTGGCCCTTCAAAGGAATTACTAAATTACCGAGCTCCTGTCATTAAAAGCGCAAGATAACTAGAGAGTGACGAGAGGATGCCCACTAAGTAGCAAATGAGTCCTAAGGATCGGTCCACAGAGAGCTGGGTCTGAATCAGGTTATTTGTATTCCTGACACAGGCAGGTAGTGAGGCCGCCATAACTGCTTTAGCACCACACAGCACATTTACTCTGGACTCGTTCTCAGATCCAAATAGCTAATTAGCTTAACAAGCTGCTTGGACTTTTCATTAGGCAAAGCTCTTCCGGCCAGACATTGAGAGATGGGATGTTTGGTCTCTCCATCCGAGGGAGTGGCTGAGCTGAGAGAGGAAATTAAGAACAAGATGGCTAACGGGGCTGAAGGGACAGACAGAGCAATGGGGTGGAGACCATGGGGCGGAAATACAGTAATATATATATATATACATATATATATATATGATGATAGATGGGAGGATGATTCAAGATGTATGAAAGTAGGGCTGGGTAAAAATTCAGATTAATTTTCATTCGAACAATATGATATTGATTTGTAAAACCCCAAAATGAAAGAATTATACTTAATAATAATAACAATAATATTATTTTAATTATGTTTAAACAATAATAGTGGCAATTCTTTTTATAAAATCATAATAAAAGTATATAATAAATATATTTATTCACAAAAATAATATTAATCCAGGACATGTTCACAGAACCCGGCATTTTATGTGTGAGAATCAGTTTTATTTTTACTTCTTTTTAAATTTAGCATGGAGTTCAAAAACTAATTAGGGCTGTCAAACGATTAATCGCATCCAAAATAAAAGTTTGTGTTTACATAATATATGTGGGTGCACTGGTGTATAATTATATATATATATATATATATATATATATAAAATACACATACATGCTTGAATGTATTTAAGATATATTTTCATGTATATACTGTATATAGATTTATATATAGTTTATATGATATATAAATATAAATATTTTATAGATAAATAATATTTTTTTCTTAAATATACATGCATGTGTGTGTGTTTATGTATATATATGCAAAATAATTATACACAGTGCACCCACATATATTATGTAAACACAAACTTTTATTTTGGAGGCGGTTAATCGACAGCCCTATTTTTAATATGTTCCTTAATCATAACATGGAGTCACGATGCTCGCAGTCACGAAAAATGTGTCAAAAATGTGTAAAAACAGGCATGGCATTACTGAAATATTCCAAACTGATCCTACATCAGATATGATACGACTCAATAAATATGATATGACTCAATACCCAGCCCTATATGCAAAAAATAAAAATAATAATGATAATAAAAAAAAGAGCAAACAACATTTAGGAGGTTGAAGAGGAGAAAAAAAGAGAAAAGCAGCAGAAACCCACCTTTCTTGAAGGCACGAGGTGGTTCAGAGAGATCGCCTAGGCATTGCATACAAGCAAAAGACAAAACAAGAAAAGATTGAAATAGAAAAAAACAGGTGAGAAAAAGAGCGGTAAGTCAGGGTTATCAAGCTGTGTCTGCGGACGGAGAGGAAAATCCCGCAGGGACAGAAAGAAAAAAAAACAAATCAAAAAACAGGTGAAAGAAAGAACCAGGCCTGTCATAATGAAAGCCCTTCTGGGCTCTAATGTGCTTATTATATTGCTCTTTTTGTATATTTCACCTTAATTTCACCCATTTTGCCCTTTGCTTAAAGGCTTGGCAGGGCAGTGAAAGAGCAGGACTGGGCGCTGAAAGAGAGAGATTTTCAAAAGCACTTGGCTACAGTGACGCCAGAGCCTCAGGCTTTATGATTTTAGCTGAACTTCAATGTCGTTGTGTTTAAGGCGATGCCAGTGGGGATTCAGGCAAGCTTAGATAAGCAGAAACCTACAGCCCGAGTGCGATATTTGGATTTCGGGGTTTCATTCAGCATTTAGAAAACATTAACACCAATAGGCCTCATGCTGCCAGAGAGCTTCCCCTGACTGGCTTTGAGAGAGAAGCTACAAGCAAAGCTTTAGTGCGGACTCAAAACAGACACTTTAAACAAGAGCCAGCCAGAGATGTGTGAACAAGGCACTGCTGGCTGAGCTTTTCCTGGAAAATTTACAGGTCACATTTCACAAAATAAAAATAAATGTTACTTTGAATGAAGGAAAATGTATTTTTTAGAACCACTGAGATGTTTTAAATTGAAAATTATTACTTTTTTATTTTGGGGCGAGGCATCCGTTTGATTCATAACGGTATGAACAGCACAAACCATGCAGAATCTGATATAATTTTTATATTCACAACAATATTATATACATTTATATTCAGATTGGGCCACTTCCATATTAGATACAGGTCTGATGTTTTAGTCATATCAGAATTAATGCGACTTTTACTTCACTTTAGATTCTACAATGAAATAGTCAATGTAGTCCAATTTGCACAAAAATTATTCTCGTCGCTTATAACATTAAGATTGAAACATTAAAGTCACATGGACTATTTTAACGATCTTTACTACCATTCTGGGTCATGAAAATGGCAATTGCGTTGCAGTCTATTTTTGGGTTTCATCAAAAAAAAAATGTAATTTGTGTTCTGAAGATGAGCGAAGATCTTACAGGTTTGGAAAAACATGAGAGTGAGTAATTAATAACAGAAATGTAATTTTTGGATGAACTAACCCTTTAAATGCAAATGCATCAATGAATTTGCTTTACAGTATTTATCTCCTATCACATGATATAAATCAAACAAAAACAATGGTCAAATGAGACATATGTTTCACTTAGCTAATAGCCTATATTTAAATCTATATTTAGCCAACTAAGCTAGCATATCCTACAGGAAATCAAATTTTAATCGAATGCTCTCAGCGTTAGATATGGTTATAACAGTATAGCATCACAAATATGATATTTAATGGAGAGTAGAAATATGATATTTCAATATTAGTTTTAGTATTAGTTTCATCTTCATTTTAAGTGCTATAAATTAATGATATGGGGTTCGACCCTGCTGAAAACAACCTAAACTGGCTTGCTGGTCTCCCACTTGGCACTTTTTTCAAATGTTCAAGCTGAAGCTGGATTCAAGTTTAAGACCAACTTGGGAGACCAGCTAAACTGGCTAAAACATATGAAAACTTGTTTCTGCCATGGAATAAAAAAACAATTGCAAACTTTCAATTCTGTGAGATATAAAGTCAGAATTGTGAGGGCAAAAAAAAGAGTTTATTTCTCACAATTCTTTTTTCAATTAATTGTACGACACAAACTTGCAATTGTGAGTTAATTACAAATTGTGAGATAAAAATACACAATATAAAAAAGGTATGAAATAAAAAGTCTCTTTTTGTTTGTTCCATGGCATAAACAAGGTTCAATTAAAACCAGCATACCGACTGGATTTAGCCATTTTTGTTCAACAGGGAAGTGGGTAGTAGCGGTCATAGTCAATCATTTCACTGTATGTAATTGACATGTTTATGCAAACTTCTTAATATTCAAAGTAGTAGCATTGTTAACACTTCACTGTTTAAGATGAATTAAATATTTAACACGTTAAATTTACCGCACATTTAATCATTCGACTATTTTACAAGACTGGAATAAGAGCACCAAAGCACACTAAAAATCCTTTTTATCAGTCAAATTAATTTAAAATGAAAATGCAAACTCAACAGAAATATGACCAGGAAGAGAAGACGAGCACTAGATTGCTGCAGGTTAGCGGGAATGTTTCTATTCAGAATGCACAGTTGGAAAGAAAACTATGAACATGATTCATTGTTTTAATAAATTGCCAGCCATAAAACGCAGTATTAACCTGCATTCTCATGCATGTAGGGGCGCAGAATTGTGTTACTGGGAACTCCCCGAGTTGTGCAAGTAGACCATTGAGAGAACATAGTGAGCCTCAAAGATTTGTCAGTGTAAAAATAGACAAGAAACTCACCCTCGGGTTCAGCGGGTGAGCCCAGAGAGTTGACCTGGAAGGGGCGGAAGGGCTTTCCTTCAAAGGCAGGAACCTCCATGCTCTCCTCAGAGGATACAGTGACATCAGGCTGAGACTCAGAGATGGAGGACAGGAACTGGTCCATATCTGCCTTCTGATCCTGTAGAAGTTCATCTTCATGGGTAGATACAGAGAGGAACATGGTTAAAAACAGCCAGCCACAAGAGGGAAGAGATGGAGGAATGGATCTACCTCAAAACCATGAAGCAGTCATAAACGCGATCAATTATCCATTACAAGGTTTCGGACTGCGCCATTTCCAGGCATCGGTAGAGATGAAAAAAAAATGAATCTTTCTAGTACTTCTCTAAACTTGCAAAAACATTCTCCAGAGTCTGTCTTAAAAACTACTAGTGGCAATCTGGAGGAGTCTTGACCCAGTTCTGTCAAGCCCCATATACTAGTCTCATCTCTTCTACACAATGCTCTCCACGTAAAATGAATGAAAAGAAAAAAATATGTAAAGTGCAGAGTCTCTGGGAAAAAGCTTCCAACTGAAACAAACACGGCACAACAAACGCTTCCGAACACTCTAATTTACTTTGATTGCGGTGAGATGTGCTCAAGCTGAGCAATAAAAAGAGTTGCCAAATTACATGTGTGTGTGCGTGTATGAGAGCTAATTACTGAAGCCAAGCTTTTCATACAGGTGTAATTATCTTGGCATCTGAGATTCAGAGAGATTCTGCAGTTTTTAAGGGGACTAAAAGCTCACATCAGGACAAAAGAACACATAAAATAGACCCAAAGTCTTTGTACACCGTTTCTTGGTTGTTTTAAAAGCCGTTTTCTGAGCTCATGACATCATGGCTTGAAAAAGGGAGGCCTGGGTTTGGGTTCACATGAACTCCGCTACATTCAAATGTTATTCAGTCTATCTTTAAGGAATTGTGGTTATTGATTATGTAAAATCTGTCTGTTTCAGTAACATGCACTCATTGCTGCTTGTCGCCACAGAAACAGAGCAAATCTCTATTTTCTCCATAAGGACACTGATTTTTAGCGAGAATGTACAAACCTTTTTAGCGATAATGTCATTGTCAAGAAAGACCTACCATGAGCTCCAAGAGAGTTAAATGATATCTGTTTCTGTCACAAGTTCAGAATGTGAGTTTAATATTTAATGTAAAAACTTAATTTTTAATAATTAAAGAGTAAAAAAGGACCTTGTTGTGACTATATTGGGGCCTTAATATAATAGAGTATCCTAAAACTCAAGTGTTTTGCAATAATCTTTAGATCTTATACCCGAAAAGTGTTATATTGTACTGTCGTTTCTGATTACCTCATAAGAATTTAAATCGACCAGTTACTTTGTCTTTTGTTTAAAATCAAAGTTTGCAATGTTGTGATTCATCTCAGAGTTGCATTGGAGTTTAGCAAGCAAACATTTCACAATCTTGATTCGTTGCGGTAGATCTGTGGCAGAGAGAAGCAGTGTATACTCAGTGTTTACTGTCAGTAGTAAAACCAAATCGACAAAAACGAGTAAAACATTAAAGCGGACACCTTCTTCCAAGTATTACCTAGCAACAGAAGAAATTACCCAAAAACTCACTCTTACTCATGATGCAAATAAAATAATGTGACAAAAGGAAGTGAAATCAAAGTTGTAGTTCTAGTGACCAAGTGATAAAGAAGCAAATGATTTGAACTGGAAAAGTGTTTCTGTCTTGTATAATCAAAAACATTAAACACATTGTTCAAAACAAAAAAGCAAATGATTTAAACATTGTAACAAAAAAAATGGCTTTTTAATGAACTCCACCTACAAATACTCTGAAAATTCCCATCATCAAGAGCATCTCTTTTTCTTCTCTCCAACAATAATCACCACACACCTAGTGAAAAAAACCTATACCAAAATGTATTCAAAACTAATTTATTTCATACTAAGTATACTGCAAATCATATCAGTTCAAATATTTACTGACATATCCCTTGATACTGATTTAAATATTATGATTAAACTTCATTTGGAGTATTTCTTTATTACTTCTAATATTAAGCCTTAAATGTTTAATATCAGTATTAGTAAGGATAGTATGATCTCTGTATAATATCTTTAAATGCAAGATATTTAAAGTGTACCTAAAGTATGCCTGCAATAGTTCCACTTTAGGAAAATCAAATATACTTAAAAAGGGTGATGAACTGAGATGATGATGATCTCAGAGGTCATGATATTATAAGAATATCCTGTAAGTTTCAGAACTGAAAACGTCCTTGTTGAAAACTCATTTTAATATGCAAAACTGAGTGTTTTTCAGCTAGGCTCAAAACTAGGGTAGAAAATAGCCTATTACTTATTCATTTTGATGTTTTTGAATGTAAAAACAAAGCGAACGTCATAAGTTGACCTCAGACAACAATATATTAAAATTGAAAAAGCCAGTTCATGACCCAATCTTTAGTTGGACCTCATCGCAATTTCTGGATATCTAAAGTGCATTAAGTACAAAATTTGTTGTTTCAATTTAACAGACTTTAAGAACACCAATTTAGTATACCAAAAGTACAATTGCAGGGTATTTATATTAAGTACTATACATAAATATGTAGATGTAATTGTAGTATACTTAGCATAAACTGAATATAGGTCAAATACATATTCCTTTTCTTGTGTGTGTTTGTAAGAAGTCCATTTCCACCGTTTTCAAAGCCACCACCCGAATCCAGATGTCCACACTTACCAATCTCATCCTGGATCTCCTCTGCGACGTACGGCACCTTGTAGAGCAGAGACAGGCTCTGGTTCATCCTCTCCTCAATCACCCGCAGGTGGGTCATCACCTAGGAAACACAGACACACACTTCTAAATCAGCGGCCGATTTACACAAGATGATATTTAGAAAAAGACTGTGGTTGTGTTAAAGGGCATGCAGCGTTGGATGGAAGTAAATCAGAAAAACAAAGGCTTTGTGGCGATCTCAATGTGGAAATGTTGAGAAGAAACTGTGTGTGTGTGTGTATGAGCAACCACGCCTGTTCTTTTGTTGTCACTAAATTTTTGTGCAATGCTCAAAAACCAGCAACAGATGGCAATGAAGGGCTTGTATGTGTGTGTGTATGTACACACACACACATATATATATATATATATACACACACACACACATGTATATTACTCTAAAATGTCATGTAGACCCACTTGACGCCCGTCTGGACCTCAGAAAGTTCCTGCATACTGTATTTAGCTGTCGCACTGTTGGTTTAGGAAATAAGGAGGTTTATGTTGGCCTAGTCAAACCTGGACTTCAACTCATTTGTTAGGAGTTACCAAAATAGATGACACTGCCATTTCTCAAACACACTGTTCTATAAATCACAGCCCCACAAGTCACCGGCGTGACTGCTATGTTTTGCTTGAGCACTACGTGTGTTTATAAAACCTACATGAGACTTAACGGTTCATAAGGGGATTTTATATTTCATTTACTTATTATATTTACTTATCTACATGTCAATCCAAACCTGTGTGTCTGTGGAGCACAAAAGTGGATATAAACATTCATACAATGAAAGCACAGATTGCAAAAAAAAGGATTGTAAAAGTTCAGATTGATATTTTTAAAGTCATTATACACTATGAGGGTGAGTAAATGATCATTTGGTAATTTTCATTTGGGTGAATTATCTCATTAACTTTCATTCCATGAATATTTCAAATATTCCAAATTCAATATCAAGAAGATTTATAAATCTTAAGGAAAATAATTAAGTAAGTTCGTAGAAACGTTCTTAAATGCAAAGAAGAAAACTGGCTTGAGGAGATCAGGACTCAGAATCACGTTTTTTACATTGTCATTTATTATAAATAGTTATTTTTCATAGTAATGGTAATATATATCATTTGTAGCTAGAGTTAGTTTGTAATGCTTAAGATTTTAAACAACCCAATAAATTCATAAAACATAAATTGAGACTTAATTAAGACATAAATTAAGTTTATTCTAACATTATGACCTGGTTTAACAGACAGGGCTTAGATTAACCCAGAATTAGGCCTTTTATAAACGTGAAAATGTTTTGTTTTGTTTTTTAAATGGCACTGACATTTTAAGATTAGATTTCAGATAAAACAGCTCAAACATGCATTTTGGTCTAGAAGTAGGCGTAAACCTTGTCTATGAAACCGGAGGTAAGAGGTTATATTATAAAAACGCAATATTCTTAAATTAGAAAGCAAGACGAAAATAGCTTTTCTATAGAAAATGCTTTGTGAATCCACCTCAGACCGAAAGGTTTGCCTAATTAAATCTGAAACAAACAGGAACTGCTATCAGTCAGTAAACAAAAACACAAGAAGTAAACTGTTGTGAATGTGGGTTTCATTTCCCATAATTCTCAGATCTATGCACACCTGGACCTGTGCCACGTCCCGTCTCCAGTGACAAACCTCTGTGCTGACTGAGGCCAGTCTGAAATGCAATTTATAGAGCCACGCCATTGGCTCAGACTCTAAAGTTACAGCCAATCAAATCGCTAAGTGTGTTGTTACACAAGAGCAGTGCAGTGCTAATCTCTCATATAACGTTCGAACAAGAGAATCCAGTCATGCTAACGGACAATCCTCTCAACTTCTGTACACCGTACAAAAACACGTACAGTTACCAAGCTTAAAGGGGAAGCGAGTTATTTTTGTGCCACTGGCAACACCAACTAGAAAGAAAAATATCAAGAACATGTTCTACTCTGACATCTACTATAGTTTACCAGTTACCAGGAAATCATCCAGTAAATGGTCTTATGAATATCAAGTAGGGACCAAAAGGCAAGTAAAACTGTTATAAATTGGACAAAACTGCATAAGGCGAGAAAAATCTAATTAAGCATTGGATTTAGCAATAAAGGGAGACTGACTTGGGACTTCATCTGGGCGGCCTTCTCAGGGTCCACGGCCAGGACGTGCTGGTAATGGCGGATGGTGTGCTGGCGATCTTTATTCTCGGCACGCATGTACCTCTTCAGAGCCTGGAGGATACGGTGGGGCTGTGGAGACAGAGAGTGAGGAGATAAATTGACCACAAAGGAGAGAAAATAAAAGGCAGGGTGAGTCAGGTGGACGTTTCGTTTCTTTATGAGTTGGCTGATCCGTGAATCAGCATTAGGATCAAAGAGCCGCAAGACGGAGAAATAACAAGGGGATTAGCAGAGATGCTGAAAGTCCGGCTCTGGCTCTCTTCATGCAAATCATTTCAGGGGATTAAACATTACATAGGTGCCCAATTCAAATTAATATCTTAAGTAAGTGAAGCCGCCCTCACTGTTATGAGCTTTCATCGGGATAATAGAGGACAGGTAATCTGCCACCATTAAATCACGCCGCACGGGGGAAAGACAACCATCGCCCGTTGGAGACTTAAGTATGAGAGGTGTAATCTGGTCATTATGAGATGAGAATTATCCTTCAAGGAAGCATTTATCTGTCAAAGTTCTTTAACTTACTCACAGAACCTGCTCGTTGCATAATTTCACCAAAGCTCTCAGATTTCATCCAAAAAAATGGAAGTCAAACGGGTTTGAAATCATTTTCCTTTTCCCCTTTAAAGGGATAGTTCTCTTTGAAATTGATTTTTGGTATGTTTTAGCTTACCCCAAGGCCATCCAAGATGCAGCTGTCTTTGTTTCCGCACTATTTTGATATTTTTAGGTCAAACCGTTCTTGTCTGTCAGTCATAAAATGCAGGTCTATGGTCACCACCTCAAAGAGCATGCACAGAGAAGTCCAAATTAAACATGATTTAATGACTCGTAAATGTAAGTACACATTGTTGGCCTAAGACACGAAACGAGCGGTTTGTGTGAAAAAATGAAAAACGTCAAAGTGATCTGAAGGCATTCGGTCTGCGCAAGCGCCGGAAGTGATCTCTCGCGCGGTTGCGGAAAAAAAAAATTCAACGTCGTCTTTTGATTTATATCGAAATCGTCTTCCATTGCGATTTCCTGTATATCTAAATATGTTTTGATCTTCACAATGAAAGTTAACGCTTCCGAAATCTCTGTGTAAACAATGAGTGACGTACACGCGGGAGAGCGCACTTCAGGCGCTTGCGTAGACCAAAGCGCCCGTGCCCTGAGATCACTTGGACGTGGCTGTGGTTACAAGAGGTAAAATCGTTTTCTCACACAAACCGCTCGTTTCGTGTCTTAGGCCATCAATGTGTACTTGCATTTACGAGTCTTTAAATCATGTTTAATTTAGACTTCTCTGTGCATGCTCTTTGAGGTGGTGACCATAGACCTCCATTGTATGACTGACAGACAAGAACGGTTCGACCTTAAAATATCAAAATTGAAACTACTGCAGAAACAAAGACATCTACATCTTGGATGCCATTGAGGTAAGCTAAAATTTTAATTTCAAAGTGAACTATCCCTTTAATATCATTTGTAAACGGAGCAAAAGGTCATTGTTCGTTGTCTCACCCTGGGTGGATCAGCCTGCAGAGCGGCTAGGTAGTTCTCCAGCGCAAGACGGCGCCGATCGTTCAGCATCGCCTCTACCCGGGCAAGGTGAGTCTCCACCAGCTGCTGTTTCTCACTGGCTGCCTCCTCCTCCAGGGACTCCACCATAGCCTGGAAGTGCTGCAGAGAGAATGATAAAACAAACCATAAATAAATAAGTCACATCTTGTACGAGATGTCCTCTGGCATGGAAGCTGAGGTTTACCTGGATCAGTGTCTGTCTCTCGGCTTTGGGCAGGTTCCTGGCCTGGCTCTCGGCCTCCTCCCACTCCTTCCTCACCTGATGGGAGCAACACATACAAAAAAAACTTGGGGCTCTGGTGACACAAATAAGGGCTGGACCTCAACTCCATAACAGTAGGTCACATGGCAACTCTCTTATCTAAATGTAACTGTGACCTCTCACTCACCCTCTCCATGCGGTTGCGGTGTCTGATCTCGAGTTGCTCCTTGGCCTTCTGGAAACGGCTGTGCTCTTTATCATCTGCTGGGGTCTCGAAGTACACATCCACATCATCTGTGGGTTGAGGAGTGGGCGGCACTGAGGAGAGGAATAGTGTGAATATAAGCCCTCTTCAAAACATTCATTTTTAGGCATCACGGGTACACTGCAGAATCTAGGTTGTTGCTCGACTCGTACCTACAGAACGTAAGGCAGGAAAGCATGATTACTTTGTGGAAATTGCAATCCTATAATGCATTGCGACAAGCTCAGTGAAAAGTTTCAGAGTTGAGGGAAATGTACTTATTCAGAACTGAAAATTATGCGTAAACATTTTATATCCAAATTTTGTGAGTCATGCATTGTGAGTTTATTGCCGTATGAAGCTGTTAGCTCAGCAACATCATACTTAAAGGGATAGTTCACTTTGAAATTGATTTTTGATATGTTTTATCTTACCTCAAGGGCATCTAAGATGCAGGTGTCTATGTTTCCAATGAATTTTTAGGTATTTTTAGGTCAAACCGTTCTTGTCTGTCAGTCATATAATGGAGGTCTATGGTCACCACCTCAAAGAGCATGCACAGAGAAGTCCAAATTAAACATGATTTAATGACTCGCAAATGTAAGTACACATTGATGGCCTGTTTAATTTGGACTTGCTCTTTGAGGTGAACAGACAAGAACGGTTTGACCTAAAAATATAAAAAATTGAAAATACTGTGGAAACAAAGACACCTACATCTTGGATGCCCTTAAGGTAAGCTAAAACACATCAAAAAATTCATTTCAAAGTGAACTATATAAATCTTTAAAGATAGACCTACTTTGAGCTACGAGGTTGTTAATCAAGGTTATTACACGGCTCTGTGGAATATTTGATTCTGATTGGTCAATCGTGCCATCCAGCGGTGTGTTATTCCCCGATAACCAGTGTTGGGTAAGTTACTCTAAAAAAGTAATTAATTACTAGTTACTAATGACCTCTTCAACAGTGTAATTAGATTACTGTACTAATTACTCTCTCTAAAAAGTATTTAATTACTTTTAATTACTAATTACTTTTAAAATCCCATATCAATCTCAACCAGCTGAATAATACAAGGATAGACATGAATCTTTTTTAGGTCTTTCAAATAAATACTATAAAATTGCATGAATTATCCTTAAACAGACCATACAGAGTGATAAAATATTAAAACTCAGTCAAATCAATATTTTGTGATGTCATCTGGCATCGTGGACTCGCTCTCTCGTTTCATACAAACGCAGCTGCTGCAATTTTGTGACTATTGTTTTGTACACCGTTTTAAAATCGTACCCGTTTATCTTAAAATCCAACAGTTTCATCTCAAATCAATATTTCTTATCCCCATAATTTTGTGTTAATATCCCCATTATGTGGCAAAATGCTGTATACCGCATCTAGTTTGAACTTGCTTGGGCGAGCAACTGCTCTCTCCACGGAGGCTTTGCGTTTAAAGACCTAATAAAATATAATTTTGACTCGGATCAATATTTCGTGCCTACTTATTTACTTATGTGGCAAGTAGCCTTGTAATAAGGCGGATAAAATACATTCAGCCGGTTGTCATCTCAGAATAAAACATGACACGGTCATCTCTATGAAAGATACTATCTTTACCGTTTTCTCATCACTCATTTTTGTTGCGTTTATTTTTATTGAAAAGTAAGTGTGCAGCAGATATTTACAAATTCCTCTATATGCGATTTGCTAACAGTGCACCACCTCTCACGTATTTAGAACTTTTCACCCCCATTTTTTAAATATTATTTCATATTTATTCTATTTTTATTATCTGTGTCCTGTCAGTGTCCTTCTGTTTGTTTGTACAGTGGAAGCTTTTGTCACCAAAACAAATTCCTCGTATTATGAAAGCGAAGAACAAAAAAACGAACCTCGCCTTGAGTATATCGGGGCTTATAGGGAGCTCACTATCTTTTAGAAAAGAGCTCTAGAGACCAATTTTTTAAAACACATTTACAGACAGATCAACAGACAGGTCCAATGAAAGCAAAGGAGGAGCAGCAGAACAAAACGAGACCACTAAAACCAAACCAGGGGAGAATAAGCATCCCACAGAGAGCTATGACTCTAGAGATGGGTTTGTAATTCCCCTGATTCTGAGAGAACTAGACAGTCCTTCATTTCACATTCCTTTCATCCTGTCCTCTGAAAAGCGCTCTTCTGACAGAACTGCTCCCCCTTAGCATTTATCTTAAGAGTTACTGCTCAACTCAGCACGCTATGATCAAGATAAAATCAGTTTTCCTTAGTATAAAGATGACAAGGCCGTCTTGACTTCCCATAAGGCTGTGCACAAAAGGCAACATCAGACATGCATATTGATTAGAACTAACAGCACCTATACTAATAAGAGGACAGGAGAAACCTTGAATGATGAAAGTTATCGTGATAAAAAAAAATCATATGAAATCCATCAGTTCATATTGCCATAAGAACACATGGACGATGGTTTCTATGACAAAAATACAATACATTTGCAGATTAGTAATAAAAAAGACTTAACCAAAGCAAAGACGGCGTAAAAAGGGACCGCACAAGCAGAAATAACAGGAAAAGAACAGACTCAATGAAATCAGATTAACTCAACACACGGCCTCTGGTGATGTTTTGCTTTAACAAAATGCATTGATTGTGAAAATTAATAATAATGATGATGATTGTTAGGGGGGTAACAATATATCGTGCCACAATATATCGCAATACAAAAATGCAACAATATGTATCGTGGATAGTCCCCCCAAAATAAATTTTTTTAGTGTAAGTATAATACATTGAACTACTATATATAATGTTGATTATAATGTATAATAATGCAATGGGGGAATATTTGTGGGTTCTGATCATGCCAAATATCTGATGTTACCTGTAAAAAGTTACATTATTTTAAATATATCTAGTCAGTGAAAGCGTGCAAGCATATTCATCTACAATAACTCTGTAATTTCAGCTTCAGAATTATGAATATTGTTATTCTGGTGTCACCATTGTCCTTGGGTTATAAGCACCAAGTCCAAGTCTATTCATTTACACACACAATGTAATATCAAATTTAGCATTTTAATCAACAGTATATTTTGGTAAACCTTTTACCAAATAATATCATATCGTGAGTTCAGTATCGTGATATGTATCGAATTGTGCATGAGGGTATCGTTACACCCCTAATGATTATTCAATAATAATAATAATAATAAATAAATAAATAAACAATTTAAATAAATAATAATTAAATCATGTAAATTCATAAAAATAAATAATACCCAATAATGAAATACATTTATTCCTACAACTATTATTGTTGTTTTTAATTAAATACAAACTAACTAATAAGAAGAAGAACAGTAATAATAATTATAATTACAATAAATCAATACTTTTTAAAATGTGAAAAACAAATTGTCTGGCAAATAAATAATAAAATTAGTCATTAATTAGCCAGCAAAAATGTTCACGGTTGTAAAGCAACGCAGAGAATTACACTGGTGTAGAACGTATTGTAATGACTGACTGCGGCTCATCCAATCAGAATTTTAAGTCTCAAACATTCGTTTTCAAAGGCTGCAAATTCGTTTTAAAGCAGGCTGTTGAGGTACACTAACACAGTGTTAGTATTGTGAGAGAAAGCAAGGAGAAGGAGCAGGGTGGAGCAGAAGGGGGCGGAGTCCTTGATGACGAGCGTGACTTACTCAAACGTTTGCACACGGCCATGCAGTACTCCTCCGAGTCGAAATTGTTGCGGTTGCCGGCACAGCCTCCGTAGATGAAGCGCACACACTTCCTCTGCTGTATGTCGAAGTGCCAGCGAGGCTTAGAGGCACGGCAGGGGCCGGTCTCCGCCTCCAGAGAACACACAGCTAACACAGGAGGGGAGGCGCAGTTAGAGCCTCCAGCCACCAGGGGCAGCAATCAGTAATGATCAGTAGTGATTTTGCCAAGACAGACATGTTCCTAGATATATGTTTTGTTGATCCTGGAGCAACATTCCTGTCTGAAAATGTAGTCCTAACCATAGATATCTAGATATCGCTAGATATGTCGAGATATCGCTAGATTTCGCTAAATATGTATAGGCTAGATATGTCGTCCACGCTGCTGGCCAATGGAGGTCGACGTCTGCACCTGGCGGCCATCTTGTCACAGGCAGCTCGCTCACTCGTAACATTGCGTTAATGGTACACGTACAATTTAAATGACCATAACTTGCTCAATTTTCTACCATTTTTCAAATAGTTTGTTTTGTTATAAACGTCAGAGATGTAGTTATGACACTGCATACTTATGAATAAAAAGTGTATAAATAAATAATCATCCAGATAATTATAGCCACGTTAATAACGTTTGTAAGAAACCAAACCGTTTGTAAATCCGTCAAGATTTGAACGAGATAAGAGTATTTGTGTTTGTGCTGACCACTCATCTTACATCAGCTTGTCTGTGACAAGATGGCCGACGGTGATGACGATGGAAACTCCGCCGTAACACATCTAGCCTATCTATGGTCCTAACTGTACCGATACTTCTGCCTAAAATCAGAGGGGAATGATGGGTGAATAACACTGATGTAGAAGTGCCTAAACTTGGCAGCAACTGTAAATGTGTCCCTCAAATCTGATTGGTTGATTGGAATGTTGCTCCAGTAACATGTTGGACTTGGTTAAATCACGTTCACCCACAATAGTGGCCACACACTTTTTCAGCGGCCTTGGTTCCAGACGTATTTTTCTCCTTTTTACTTTCTCCATACATAAATATAACGTTAAGAACATTAGCCTCCATTCCAATGGACAATAACGTTTGACAATAGCCGTGATGTGGACTTCGCTGTCCTTAAATAACTAGAATGATTATAAAAACTTTATAGTTATATTTTTAATTATAAACAGCCTTTTAGTATAAAACCAGTGAACTTCACTGTAAAATATTCAGTTGCATACAAATGTATAACAAGTTTGAGAGCGTAGGGAAATTCAATTGATTACATGTTTCATGACCAGTGGGCACTGCTGAGCCCTACCATAATTTTGTTTCCATGGTAACAGCGACTTCTCTGATTGGTGAATTCATCTTTAACAGGATTCTGAATAATGTCATTCTGGCTATAGCATGCAGATTAAAAAAAAAGTTTGTGTCTGACGTGTGGCTTTAACAGTGTAATATATCTTATTATATTATACTTAATCTTGCAAGCATTAAACATTATATATAATTCAAAATTTACTTCTGGAACCCGACTGTTGCGCTATATAGGGTGTGCAGACAATAGCAAACAATAAAGGGTATACTTAAAGTCAGATATAACTAAAAAAAAAAAAAAAGGTCAATAACTGTAAGCCTCTACAGAACAGGACCAGAGATAAGCATCAAATGAGTTGCTGTAATTGGACGCATTGTGACAGTCAGGAAATAAATAAAGGAAACAGAGTGTTACTGACCTTCCACTTCCTGCAGAGTTTTGTCATTTTCCTGGCTCTCTGGGACGACAGCTTTCTCTTTCTTCTCATCCTTTTCTTCACTGTCTCGGTCCTCCTCTTCATCCTCGTACACGTAGTGGTAGTCCTCCTCATCTCCGTCATCCTCCTGCTCTTCCTCTTCTTCAGCCGTGTCCTCCTGAGTGGGCGGCTCGTTGGCAACAGGCTCGCTAAAAACGAGATAAGACACAACTTTAAATCTTTGGTCTTTTCGCTTTTTTTCTTTCATTTAAACAGAAGCAGCACCCCAAACAACATCCCACTCATTTAAAATAGTATAACCGTCAAAACTTTTAAATAAAGTAACTATATTGAATGTCTTTAAATTGGCAATGTGTTTTTTTTTTATATTTTTCACAATTTAGGCCGTGATCCACTGGAAAGTCATGCGGGTTTGGAAAGAATTGAGGTTGAGTAAATGACAGGGTTATTGTTAACTAAAACATAAACCATAAAAACACTGTAATCTGTGAAACTAGTAATCTGTCTTGAACTAATCTTTTTTCACGTCATTTGGTTCATTCAACGGAACGAAATGAACGAGTCGACTCTGGAAAAGATTTGTTCATTTTGATGAACGAGTTTGAACAGGAAAGTGACGAACGCGCATCACAGAACAGAGCAAGGCTACCATTTGAGCTTATAAAACATTTAAAAAAAATTTTTAAATGAGTGATCGTTTCGCTTGATAAGACCCTTATTCATCGTTTGTAATCGTTTAAAGCCCTTTGAACAGTTTGCACTGAAACTGTCTTTTTGACCTTGAACCGTTTGGTTCCCATTGAAGTCCATTATATGGAGAAAAATGCAGGAATTTTTATCAAAAACCTTAATTTCTTTTCGACTGAAGAAAGAAAGACATGGATATGGATGACATGGGGGTGAGTAAATTATCAGCAAAGTTTTTTTTAAAAGTAACTACTCTAACTAATGTAGTTACCTATTGTTAATAAATGAAACCTTATTGCGAAGTGTTAGCCTAAAACTAAATAAACTAGAGTTTTTTAATAATTAAATCATTTTTTTTAAAATGTAAACACAAATGACAAACATAAAAAATTGCTAAACCTTTAAAATGAAAGTGCATCTATTATACGTAGAACCATCACGCAGTCAAATACGATAAAATACAAACGATTTGTTTAGGTGGTTCAGAGTCGGTTCTTTCTTTTCGGAGACAACGTGCGCTTTCAACTTTACAACTTTGCAGAACATTTACATTCACAAACAGCTATCTTACACACTGAAATATATTGAAATATTGATGTATTGAAATTATAAAAATAAATTCCAATTCAAAACATTTAAAAAAAAACTATAATAGTACATCAATGACATTAAAATAACACTGGTAAATGATGAAAAAAATGATTTTTAGATGAACTATCCAAAGAAAAATCTGGAAAAACAGAGGGAGGGGAGGAGAACAGGTTGGAAGTTTTATGATTTATGGAAGTGAATCAAACAGCTGTCAGAGGTCAAAGGCATGGCACTCGAAAATATCCAGATGGCCAACCTAATTTATCCTACACAAACGCACACACACGGCGTATGCTCTCACACATACAATTTTTCAGCTACTACTGTACTTCTCAAATGATAAGACACGACAGGTCACAGTCATACTGATGCATCATCCTTTGATAAGTTTGCCAGGGGCGCTCAGGATAGGCTGTGCCCATTTTTTAGAAATATGGATATGTAAATAATTGATAATTAATTAAGTTTAGTGAATGAGTCGGTGTCTTAAATTGGACCTCCACGCCTGAGATTTTATTTAATGATGATTTGTTGGCGCCGAAATATAGCGGAGTTGCTTTGGCCATCCGAATTAGAGCAAAAATATTAGAATTTAGTTTTCTTGTTGATAGCGCAAGGTAAATTGTGATAAATGAAAGGTAAATTAACTAAGAAACCACAAACTAACATTGGACTAAGAAACCAAACTCGAGAAAGTTGAGAAAGACCACATGCATGTCAACTACCACCACGTTACCTCTCCTCTACTGCTTCATCATCTTCATCCTCTTCATCCTCATCCTCAATGACAGGCTCCTCCACCTCCTCATTCTCATCATCTTCATCCTCGTCATCAAGCTCTTTTGAGGGTGAAGCAGGAGGTACGGGCTCCTCGGGACGAGTAGACGGGCAGCAGACGTATTCAGTGCCGTGGAACTTATCGATGCCACAGGGAAGCAGCATGCCGTAGCTGTGCAGGACCATGCTTCCCTTAGAACAGGCCTAGAGAGAGAGAGACACACACACACACAGAGAGTCAGGAAATCCGATTCAATTAGAGCAAATGTGGTTTGAAAGGCCAGTCTGCTGTGCAAGAACAGCCCGAAGAAATTCAGCAGATCTGTTAAATGTCTGTCCCGGGATCAGTGGAGTCAGCGCACGGAGATGCTTTCACAATGCACACACAGAGAATGATAGACGGCAGCTTGGAGTGATTTACGGTACGAAAAGTACTGACCACGTACACACTGCAGCTAAATTTGGTTCTGCATTCTGCATCCAAATGGATTCAGGAAGAAAGACAATATCTATCTGCGATGTTCAAAAACTAGTTTGCACAAGGAGTAGTAGGTATGATGGTAGAAATGCGTCACCTGCTAGAGATTTTGCTATACAGTTTATAAGGACTGTCTTTTATTATTTGCAGACGAGAACGACAAGATCCTCAAAGTGAACCTCAGATTTATTCAGTTGTTATGAATCTTATCTTTTGGTAACACCCATCAAAATAAATCAAAGTTAAAATGAAAAAATAATCAATAAAATGAGACAAAGTGCATTTAATTTGCAAAGTATTTATTCTCAACATTATCAAAGAAAAATAGGTTTTACCAGATGACTATTAAATATATAAAGTATTTTTAAATTGAATTTTTAGGAAGAACGATGTACTGCTGTTTAAAAATTAGGGGTCAGTAAGAAATCAGTTGTATTATTGAGGCAGAATGCATTACATTTGTAAAATGTGCTAGTAAAGCCTTTTTATTGTTACCAAGAACATTTCAAATAAAAGCAAGCACAGCTGTTTTCAACACGGACAATAATAAGAAATGTTTCTTGAGCATCAAATCAGCATATTAGAATGATTTCTGAAGGATCATGTGATGCTGAGGACTGGAGTAATGATGCTGAAAATCAGCAATTAAATCACATTTTTAAATATATAATTAAATAAAAAAATTATTTTAAATTGTAATATTTCACAATATTGTTGTTTTTACTGTATTTTTGGTTTGGTGAGCTTGGTGAGCGAGACTTCTTTCAAAAATATTGAGAAATCTTTTGAACCCAAATTTTTGATCAGTTGTGTATGTGTCTCAAGATCTTGTCTCCTTATTATGCAAAGATTCTTCATTGATGTTTTTAGCATTAAAGACACATCAAAAACATCCACGCAACCTCAGGATAGCACACAAAGAACGATAACAAAGAATTCAAGCCCAAATAAATGCAGTTGTCACTCCCAAAAACTGTGAAAATGCATGAGAAATTAGAAAGACAGCAGATCAGCAGATAGGAGGAAAACTGAAAAGAAAGTTTATAAAAAGAGGATATATCGGATGTGAGCTGAGTAAGTGTAAGTGTAAAAAGACCAGGTGTGTGTGTGTGTGTGTGAGAGAGAGAGAGATTATCAGTATTACAGCAGTACGGCTTATCCAGTTATCAGGGTGAAATGTGAGGAGTCAAGCATGCAGCAGGAAAGACTGAGAGAGAATAAGACCGTGACACTCAAGTCTATTGAAAATCCATCAAATTTTAAAGGAGCATTAGATGTAAAGGTAAATTGCAGAGGTTTGCAAAAGTTCTGTAAAAAATTTTCTGTATGTAGCAATGTGCAAAACATGGATGGAATCTTGGAATCCAGTCATGAAAATGGAATTTACGATATAACGCGAAATGTCACGTAATTTGTAAAATTTTGGATGAATAAATCAAAAGTAGGGCTGAAATATAAACACGTCATGATATAGACTAGTGTTTGTGAATATAAAAGAGTGAAAAGTCTGTGATTTAAATGGGAATTCTGCATGTTCAAAGCGTGAAGCGTGTCTGTGTGAATGAATTCAGCACTTTTGTCTAATAAACATTTTAGTAAATTATCAAACTGCTAGTTAAGTTTTATGAATTAAATTGCTTCTGTTATTTTTTAAATTTTGCTCTCGGGGTCCCCCTACATTTGGGAAACAGTATTGTCTTCTACTACGGTCATAAAATCTGTCATGGTTGCACTAGGGAATACACGCGTGGATTTGTTGACAAGCGAAAACGTCAAAAGATCGCGTAGCTCACGTTAACAAGCCAGCGTCTTTATAGTAACGTTAGCCTATTGGCTAATGTTTCACAAAATGGATATACTTGCTTCAGCCATGACAACATACAAACATACAGACAACAAAACAAAAACTTGTTGGGCTCTCGCGTTTGGAATTTGAGGAAGTGGGGGAAGTGTTGTATGCCGTAAAGCAGTCGAATTTTGTAGTTCTTTTTGTGCTCGGGTTCCTACCCGCTCCCAGAAGTTACAGAGTGCCAATAAAAGCGATACAGACCATGTCAGACTATGGCAGACCTATCATTCAACCTATTGTAAGTCGATGTACCATCTCAAGGGTTTTGGAAAAATATTATAAAGGTTAAAAAAACGACATAGTGCTGCTTTAAAACAGAAATTAGAATGAAATATTAATTTTAAAAAAAATGTAACTTTACTGGGGCCTAGTTTTTGACACTGTGACCAAACGTCGAGAGTTGCCGCAACAACCGTGTAAATTTGAAAATTTCAGTGAGGCGATTGTAACTGTGCTTTCAGCAATTCAATTTACTGAATTCCAATTTCAAATTTACACGGTCCTTCCATGTCTTAAAGATCTCTTACGTATGTCGAATCTCATTGGTCTCAAAGCTAACTTCAAAAAGCTGTATATCAAATTCGAAACATGTTAATTGGCAACAATTCTGATGCTTTGCATAGCATCTTGGCATTTATTGTGGACAGACACATATCTTGTTGAGTACATGTACTATGTAATTAGTGTTGAATGTCTATGGAGCTGGAAATGATGTCTTACCTCTTTGGCCACACCGTGCCATTGCTGATGACTCACGCACATGTCCATACGCTCCTTGTGGAAGAATTTACATTTCTCTGGCACCAGGAGGACATCACTCACGAATTCCCCAACTGAAAACATACAAACACGCAGCACGCAGATTATTAGCAAGGCTGAGGCTTTAACATCATGCAGCTGGTACAATGCAAACAGAAAACAACTAACAAAACAGAATTGCAAATTTGAGACAGCAAATAACAACACAGCTCAATAATTCATCAACACATGGTCTTTTGCATTCTATAATGAGCATTTTACAACTAGGGCAAGTGGCATCTGAACAGACATCTGGTCCGTACCAAAAGACAGAATAAAGATCTGGCGTGCACACACCATCCCGTCCACAGCAGAGAGAGAGCAAATAGTCTCGCCGCGTTCTTTAAAGAGAACGGTGTAATTCTGGCTCATATCAAGTTTAAAATTTCTGAACACTGTGTTGCTTACAAACATTGCGCTGATTGTTCGAGCGATCAGATATATTAAAGGAACATGCCGAATTTTTGTGATTTTAGCTTATTCACTTTATCCCCCAGAGTTAGATAAGTCCATACATACCTTTTTCATGCTGTAACTTTGTCTGACGCACCTACCGCTAGCCTAGCTTAGCACAAAGACTGGATGTAAATGGCTCCAGCTAGCATACTAATCCCAATAGACAAAATAACTCAAACATTTTCCTATTTACATGTTGTGATTTGTATAGTCAATGAGTGTACAAATAACAAAGTCATATGAGACACAGCCATCGTTTAACCATATAAATATTGGACACTATAATCTCAGACGGCGAATTGTAACTGTACGATTGCCCGCGAGCTTCTCTTCCTGTCCATACGGTAATCTCTCTACTGTGCGACAGAGGTTATGACGCAATCGTTAGCCTACTTTTACAAAAAACTGCTTCTACGGGCCATAACATAAGCTACAAGGTAATGGAGCATTTTATACATTTTTGTGTTTCTTAAGAAATAAATAAAGGACAAATGGAGTCTTCAAACGCCTCAGATGTAAAGTTATTCGCTGTCAAAGCGACACAAAAATGAATGGAAGTCAATGGAAATGCTAACTCAAGTGAAGTTCTGCTACAAGATGGCGGCACCCGGCCGGCTTCAACTTCCGGTCGTTTTTGTAAAAATATCTAAACACCATTTAACTCGAAAAAAGTCATATTACCATTCCAATGAATCTAAAGCTGTTCAGTTAAGCTATAAAAAACCTCCATAGCTCCCTTTTAATTTAAATTTCAGCCTTTGTGATTTGATAAAAATAGTACTATTTTGTTTGAATTAGCGTTCGGCACAGGGGAGCCGCCTTGATATATGCTGTATTCTATTTCTTAGTATTTGCTATTTATTTATTCATTTACTTATTGTGTTTTAGTGTATCAGTCTGTGTTTATTGTTTTGTGCTCTAACTGTGAAGTACTTTGGTAGGCCTAGGCCTTGGAAATGTGCTATACAAATAAACATGACATTGACATTGACATTGTACTAGGCCATTTAACAATATTGGGGTTTTTTCAATGAACCGTGCAGGCCTAATAGGAATGCACAGAAATTTTGGCCAATGAAAGAGAAAATAGGCGAAAATCTTCAAGTTTATTAGTTTACGGTCTTAGTTTTGATTTTTTAATTTTAATTAACCTATATGTTATTGTATAAATCACATCAAATGAAGACAGTAAAATCACTTATGGCAAATCAAACTGATTGTCCATTTTTTGATTTTTTGAAGATACTTTTCAACCGTATTTTTATTCTTTAGGATTGATTTTTGGGAGAACTGTGCCTTTAAGGAAATCAATTTACACTAAGCAATAGTTAATGTATAAATGAAACGGCAAAAGGGAGCGTGTGAGTAAGTGAGTGACAGCTGAGGAGCTCAGATGCCATCAGACAGGCCAGCATGGGATTGTGTGCCATATGCAGGAGAGTTATTACAGAACTGATTTCAGGACAGCTGGGAGGCCAATCCAACCTCTGAGCCTGAACGACAGAACGAGAGAGATTGAATCGTTTAATGACCAGAAGTCTGTTTACAATAGAAGAGGATTGTGACTGTCCACAAACTGCTCATTTAGCTTTGACCACAAAAGAGGCCTAGGGCCAAATCAGCCTGAAACCAGAGAGCAGATGAAATGCGGACAGGAGAGAAAGAAAAGGGCAGTGTTTTGGAAAATGAGAGGGTTTGGAGAAAGAACCTGAAATAGAAAAGAACATAGTTCAAACCAAAGCCTCTCCACACACTAAATTCAAACTCAAACATGCAAAAAATATCGTCCCATTGGCCCACAGGGTCCGAATCGACTACAGTCCTTACAGCATCTTATTCACATTAACCTATTTATCAAACTCCGCACTGCGTTTAAATACCTGCTCTTGCTATTAAGACCTGTAAAGGTTTCAAAGCAACAAGCTGTCGATCATCACAGAACAAAACTTCCATTCCAATGTCCCTTGCGCATACGGTTTACTGGTTATAAGTGTAATGACAACAGATCACAGTAGTCTCATGCTTGCACATCTACAGTATGTGGTTATCTACTCAAAAGCGCACTTTATGCCTTGTCTAATAGGTTTCCATTGTGAGTGCATTACTGTAAACGATTTCTGCTTGTTTTTACAAGCTGAGGGGGGAGTCAAAAAAAATTGTGTGGCAATCGACAGCATGTCACAGATGCCGTCGATAAAGCTTAACTTGTATTGAACCCGGAACGTTTACAAACACAATCTGCTCTGCTGAAAAAACAGTGTGGGTGATTCAGGAATACCATTATTTATTTTACAGCTGCAGTAGAAAAAGCAGAAAATAAGTCCTGACAGCGTCGGTAGGGCTGCTCGACTGCAATAAACGAGGTATCGCATTGATATCATGTGAAGAGCGAGGCAGTGAGGCAGAGAAGTGCAGCATTCTGCCTCTACAACCACCCGAGAGGAAATGGGAAATGCTCAAATACTTTGCAAAACGATACTTTACATTCCAAACAAATGTTGTCACATGACAACATTTTGCTGCATGCTTAGTTTAGCATCGTTTAATTATTAAAAAGCACAACCCTAATGTGCATTTCCAATTCTATTTTGGGACACACTTTATATTAGGTGTCTTTTACTATGTACTTAGTAGTATAATAATATAGGGCTGTAAAATCGATTAATTGCATCTAACAAAACAACAAAACTGTTTTCCACTACAAATAGGAAAAAGAGGCTATGATTTGCTAGAGCTCACCATAATAGAATAGTTGAAGACTGGAAAAAGATTGCCTGGTCTGATGAGTCTCAATTTCTTTTGAGACATTCAGATGGTAGAGTCAGAATTTGGCGTAAACAGAATGAGAACATGGATCCATCATGCCTTGTTACCACTGTGCAGGCTGGTGGTGGTGGTGTAATGGTGTGCGGGATGTTTTCTTGGCACACTTTAGGCCCCTTAGTGCCAATTGGGCATCGTTTAAATGCCACGGCCAACCTGAGCATTGTTTCTGACCATGTCCATCCCTTTATGTCCACCATGTACCCATCCTCTGATGGCTAATTCCAGCAGGATAAGATAATGCACCATGTCACAAAGCTCGAATCATTTCAGATTGGTTTCTTGAACATGACAATGAGTTGACTGTACTAAAATGGCCCCCACAGTCACCAGATCTCAACTCAATACAGCATCTTTGGAACGTGGTGGAACAGGAGCTTCGTGCCCTGGATGTGCATCCCACAAATCTCCATTAACTCCAAGATGCTATCCTATCAATATGGTCCAACTTTCAGCACCTTGTTGAATGCCACGTAGAATTAAGGCAGTTCTGAAGGCGAAAGGGGGTCAAACTAACTATTAGTATGGTGTTCCTAATAATCCTTTATTAGTTTGCAAAACATTTTTGCAGCTATTGATGTGGGATACGGACAACAATACATTTTAAAAACAATACTATACATTGTTGACCTCACTATGTTTGAGATTTCAGCCAAGTTCCATCCAATTATTGCTGAAACAAACATGGTTATAAGGCATTGCTTAAAAGCTTATAAATATTTTGACTTTACTTTAAAACTTTTTGGCATTTTAAACAAATGTGTCAAGGAGGACAGATAAAAACTGCTCTTTTATATACTGCACATTTTGGCATATTCAAAAAATAATTATCTGTTTATGCTCCTTGGACAAAATTACGGCATACTAGTTTGGAAGAATGATGATGAACAACAAATTAATTTTCATTGTTGGGTAAACAATTCCTTTCAAAACATCATTTCATTTATTTGGGTCAGACACAAAAAAAGAGTGACTGATGAAAAGAATATAAAAAAAAAAGCTTTCAAATGCCAAAAAGGCGGACGACGTGGGATGACTCATTTGCGCGCCCATGTAATCCCTGATTTTCCATTTTAAACTAAACAACTGTGCATAAATTTGACTAAGCGCCTGACTTGTGAAGGCAAACTGCATGCAGGCTCACGACATGATCAAAAAACACTTAGATGATCCAACAAAGGCTGGAAAAGAAGCGTATTATAGTTGGTAAGAAAAAAAAATATAAAGAGGAACGACACAAAAGGATTCAGGCCAGCTGCTTTCAACTTCATCGTTTATAGCCCAGTTTCTCCGCTCTGTCCCAGACCTACATCAAAGATTTATGACTATTACACATTAAATGCAGTATTATCTCCCCGTCTTCTTTCCGTTTTATCTCCAGTTGTATCGACTAGACGCTTCGGCCAGGATGGAATCTGCCCGCATCTGTGTCTGTTTTCAGAAACACTAGCATCAAATGAACTAGTTTAACCTTCAGAGACCTGTTTCAGTGGAGCAGAGCTGCTGTTGATGTAGCACAATCCTCCCAGCTAAAGAGCTGTTTATCTCAGCACTACCTTGTATTTGTATCATTCAGGACTATTAAGGCTAAAGAGTGAAACGCTCAGCAACTAAACAAACCCAAACAAAATACTGGAAACCATCTGCTGACTGCCCATTAGGAGTTAACCTCGGCTGAAATGAATCAATCCAGTGCTTGAAAGTGAAGAGCTAATGGTCAAACATGAGCTCTGCTTCTCAGTCGAACAGACGAGCT